TCCAATGTGATTTTCGTTCTTTTCCGAGCCTTAATTTCAGCCGCGTAAATGGGGTTATTCAAAAAGTTGCCCGCAAAATTGGGTCTGGTTTTAGCCTTTGGCCTTGCAGGCCTCATCATAGTGCGGGAATCAAATAAAGATTGTCGGGTTAGGGCAAGGTGATGGTAGTTTTCTGCCGAGGAGGGTAGTCACTTTTGTTTAGATTACGACGAGCGCCACGCTGGATTAAGTATACAATATTGTGTTTCGTCACTAGCAATTGTTGCAATTTGGGTTTGTTGAGCTGGAGATTTCAATGCGCGTTTTTCAGAAATTTTTGGGGTTTTAAAGTCGCGCTTTTGGAAGTGGTTAATTTTTGGAATTTCGCGAATATTGGGTCAAAAAAAAACGACAAGGGGGTCCCAAAAAATCAACCCCCCTCGGGCGGGCCGCAAACATGTCCGATTGTGACGATTTAGGTATCTATCGAAAGCTCTCGAAAAGGCAAGAAAACAAGCACTTTTCGTTTTTCAATATAGCCCGTTTAATTCACTAAATTCAGGACCAAAACCAATGAAAACGGCAGATTTTATGCACAGCATTCTAATTGTTTGCTAAAGCAAACAGGACGACGCTGATTTTACGCTTTTTTGAGTAATCGTTAAATATCGAGCGCCGGCTAAAAAAAATTGTAAAACGAAAATCGCTTGTTTTCTCGCCGTTTCAAGGGCTTTCGAATGGTGTAAAAATCATCCCGATCTGACCTTTCTCCGAACCGCTAGAGGGGGGTCGATTTTTTTGGGACACCCTGTAGTATGGCATTAATGACATGCTGCTTCATTAGATTTTTTATGTTTGACCCGGTGGGAAATCAACATCGGAAATGAGAGGCTGTATAGCGCTAAAAAAAGAGCCAAAAAACACCGCATGCAAGGAAAATCTAAAAGCCAGGCTGCAAAGTGCAATTACCGTTTTTTCATGCGCAGTTCGCCCTTTTAAAGGTCACTATAATTTTTAATACGGAAAAGTATAGAAAGTTTCCGGAATGTTTCCACCGGATGTTCCTGCGAATTGGGACTGGAAGCGTAACCTCTCCACTTGGCCCTACTGGTCTGCCCAAGCGCGGAAGGAGCAGGAAATTCTGATTGCCGCCCAGCAGAATCCATTTGGGCAGGTAATTCTGAGTCTTATGGGCTTTAGGGCATCCGGAAATATCAGGTTGGAACGAAAAGTTCTGTCGCCGAGATTTTGGAAGGCTGGCTAAATTCGTAGATAGCTCCATTCTGCACACGCGATATGTCATTTTGTAGCTCTCGGCCTGAATGGTTCCGGGAGGAAGGTCCTGGACCCTCAAAATCATGAACGGCCGAGATACAGGCCGAAGAAGATTTTTTAAAAATTACGAGAAAGTGTTTTTTGCAAGTTATCTCTGCATAGACAAATTTGCATGCGATTTTTTTAACGCCAATCGATAGCTCTCGAGGAGTAGATATCGATAGATGTTGAGATCGTCAAAATTGGACACTCGATGGCCGAGATATGGGCCCTTGAAGTTTAGCCCATTTCTTAGAACTTTTCTCAAAATCCCATACATTTCCAAACATTTGGCGGGCAGGTGCCGAAAATTACCGTTTTATTTTTGGACTAGCGGAGCGTATTTTGCAAAAATGTATGGGAAATCGGGAAAAGTTCTAAGAAATGGGCTGAACTTCAAGGGCCCATATCTCGGCCATCGAGTGTCCAATTTTGACGATCTCAACATCTATCGATATCTACTCCTCGAGAGCTATCGACTGGCGTTAAAGGTATTGCATGCAAATATCTCTATGCAGAGATAACTTGCAAAAACACTTTCTCGTAATTTTTGAAAAATCTTCTTCGGCCTGTATCTCGGCCGTTCATGATTTTGAGGGTCCAGGACCTTCCTCCCGGAACCATTCAGGCCGAGAGCTACAAAATGACATATCGCGTGTGCAGAATGGAGCTATCTACGAATTTAGCCAGCCTTCCAAAATCTCGGCGACAGAACTTTCGTTCCAACCTGATACATTTTTAGCGTCGGAAGCGCAGCCCAGACCACGAAGCCATGGTTATCCGGGTGTTAATAAAAATTGTTTAGCTATTTCACTATGTTCATCCGAAATATTTCGAGTATATTCGGCACGAATGCTTAGAGCTGAATGGTAGCTACAGTCTGCTACGGAACTACCCTCTAGGTATGTAGGTTTAGAGGTACTTTTTTTAGAGCTCTCTCTCGCTCTCTCTCTCTATCTCTATCTCTCGCGCTCCCTCTATCCCTCTCACTCTCTCTCTCGCGCCCTCGCACGCTCTAACTCTCTCGCGCTCTCTCTATCTCTCTTTCACTCTCTCGCGCTCTCACTCCCTCGCGCTCTCTCTCTCTCTCTCTCTCTCTCTCTCTCTCTCGCTCCCTCTATCTCTCTCAGTCTCTCCGCTCTCTCGCGCTCTCTCTCGCTCTCTCGCTCTATCTATCTATCTCTCTTTATCTCTCGCTCTCTAACCCTTATCGAATTTCCTAAGTTAAGTCTAAATCAAAGTTTAACTAATTAATTTCAGTACGAAGATATTTCAAGCTTATAAATATTTTTAAGGCGGTCTCTACCTTACTTCCGGTATCATCTACGAAACCATATATATCTCGGTCCTCATCATCATGCTTAAGAAAGAATTTTTCCAGCATGCTTGCTATAAGATCATGTAAGAAACAATATATACAATGTTCTATTTAAAATGTAAGGTTTTGCATGGGGCTGATCGACATTTCTAGTGTGGTTCCTAACGCTTTGCTAGCTGGTGAGGACTCTCAAAAATTTGCCTATATTTTTAGGGTATTATCTCTTGGTGGGTGGATCTGCTTGCACGTATCCGTTGCTGAACATGTGGCTGGGTTTTGTGGCATTTTGTAGGTCTGCATCACAGAGAGACAACTTGATTTTAGAATTCTGGTGTGGGTACTCGGGCATGTCGGTGTTGTTGGGGTTGAATCGGGCCCTGGATTTTGAGTTTCCGAGACTGGCTGAGGTAATTTGAGGAATATTCTGCTTTCCCAGCGGTGCGACGACGTGCAACTTTTCTTAAAGGGGCTCGGAAGTCAAAAGTCGTGAGTACGGGATTTGAAACTGCTGGTCAACAACGAAAGGGTTACTGCCGAGAAGTACCAGAAAAGTGATTTCGTTGCGAAGAATTGATTAAAGCGTAAGATATTTGAGAAAACCGAAACAGTCTCGAGGCGAAAACGCTTTTTGAGTGCGCGGCAGTTACATGTCGTAATGCCATCCAAGGCACCCAATCTCTCGATCTCGGCGATTCTCTGGTCAATTTTCGTAATTCAAAAGTCTAGAATGATCAAAATTCGAAGAGGATTACAGAAATAGCTTGAGAATTTTTCAATTTGAGCGTTTTCACGTCCAAACAGGGGCAAAAGGTCAGGCGGCGCGGTCGCATCTGGCAATTTGCCAAGAATGAACTTCGAGGGGCGTGGGTCCGAGCCCCAAATTGAAGTCAAAACGCGAGCGTTGCGTGTCGCGGCACTAAAAAGTGAAGCTAGGCCGATACGGCAGTAATGTACCCTCCAGACCCTCTTCTCCGGCTACCGCGTCTACATCTGGATCCTCTGCGGCCCGATAGCGTTCATTTTGTACGTGATGCTGACCAACGTCCCCTGCGTGTTCAACCCCGTCCTGGCCGGCTACTTCTTCGAGATCAACATCTTCAAGCCGATGATGGTACATATACAACGATTTTCAGCATCGTTTTTAGCCAAACACCGTCCATCTCTTCAACAACCTTGGTGTTACCACTTGCTCGATCATCCTAAATGTACGGATTGGGCGTACAGAAGCGGAATGTTCTAATTTTTTTAGTTGATGATGGTTACCTTCCTCTTCAAAATGACCCGAAAGGCTGCCGGTGATACGGCCGTGACCCGGATGCAACGAGTTGTGCGTTTTTCGGCATGGAACTTACCGGCGAGCGCGCGTCAGGTTTTACGCAGTCAATGGGGGAGTCAGGCGATGACTTGTCCACCCCTTTAGTAACCTGAAAATCCCCGAAGTGCTCTAGGTGGTAATTCAATGTCTCCTGATCTGCTCGATGATGATGACAGCGTCGGCCATCTACTGTTTGATGCAATTTATCCCGGTTCCCCCATCTTTTGTCGTTGGCTCGACAATCATGTGGCAATTTTCGAATGGTAAGCGTTCGGGAAGAGAGAGATATAGAGATAGAAAGATCGAGATAGAGAGATAGAGAGCGAAAGAGAGAGAGGAGAGAGACCGAGCAGAGAAAGGAAAGTGTTTAGGCGCCCCCGGCATCATCTACCTAGTAGTCAACAAGTCGATGCGCAAGGCGTATTTCTCGACGTTCTTTGGGTTCAAGAAGGAACAGAGTAAGTCATTATTCCGGATTAACAAGCTTCTTTAGAAGTCAACGTCAGCACGACCAGCAACAACTCCGCCAAGAATCTGGTGGCCGCTATTACGCCTATGGTCCAAGAAAATCAGGCTCAACCGGAAGCTGTCGAGGAGCAGATTAAGCCTGTTATTGAGGATGACTGATCTTTTTACCGCAATTCTGATTTTTATTTATTTTTGACATAGATGCACGTCTTTATCTGTTACAGTAGAATTCATTTTTAAAAAGTCGCGAAAAACACGACTATAAAAGTCATTTATTAAATTTTACTATGTTCATGTTAATAGTGGTAGTTTGTGCGTTTTTGCGTTTTCTTAAGTTTACTTTTCTGTTTTTCTTGATTTTCTCTGTTTTTATTAACCACCTAAATTCCAAAAATAGCCCCAAAACGCGATTAGATCTTTCGCCTTTATTTTGCATCCAAATAATGAATCGCGCCCCGTTTTCTGAATAAAGCAACCCCCTTTTTCCGAAATTGCGCCCATGATTGGGGCCCTAAAAACATGCAATTACTGACGACGCGTCGGGTTCAGTTTCTGGCCAAAACAACCGGGTTAATTTCATGGAATTTGATCATCAAAATTGCTCTTATGGATTTTACAACTAATTTTGATTGGGAGGTAAATCTTACTGATGCCTCAAATCGATGGTCAGCTGCCGCGAAATTCGAGCAAAAATGGATTGTTGAAGCGGAAGAGTCGCTGCTTGGCGAGGTTTGTGGCGTTTTATCGGATACCTTCTTAAAAACTACACAGCTTGGAGAATTTTTGGATACCTCAAAGACGTTCAAGTTAGTTAAATACGTCAGCTTTAATCGAAAAGTTAGACAAATTTCAGCTTTTCGACCTTATCCACCCAACCTATTGGCAGTACGTCCATCGAGAATGCCTGGAATTGGACGGGATGTATCAAAAGTACAACGATCAAAAGCTCGGTATGATAATTAGCCATAAAGCAGTGCAGCTTTTGCTATATTTAGGCCTAATCTTCTTAGCAATTGCTGTAGTATTCGAATTTCTCTATCTCCCGGTCGTGTTCGTTATGCTAAAACCAGAATTTATTCAACATTCTTGCTACAAAATTATGTAAGCTCTGGAAAATGTTCAAAAGCCCAATTTAGGTTGGCCATGGGTGTTATCGATTTGGTGACATTAATAGTTAATGGCGTAATACCAGGTAAAAACCGTAACCACAATATAGACCCAAGCGATTGTTTTCGGTTATTTCCTACTCGTTGGCGGCTCAATCTGCTCGTATCCATTAACAAATGTTTGGTTAGGTATTTGGGCGTTAGGTATGCGGTTTATTTAACGGAAATGACCGATGATCATCCGCCAAAATGAAGTGCAGCGGTTGCGTCGCGGTCCCGGCGTAGCGGTCGCGGCTTCAATACCTACCAACTTGGCATGACGCGACCGCAAAGCGTTTACCCGTCCCTTGGCATCGTAATTGACTAGAATTATCTGATTATTTTTATTTTATATTATTTATTGATTTTTTACAGTTGGATCGATATATTTTTAATTCAATCATTTTTGTAGCATTGTGGTATGGCTATTCTGCCCTTTCGGTTCTACTCGGTCTCAATCGGGTGCTCCAATTTTCCACTCCAAAGCTCGCGGAGGTGAGTACGACACCCGAATCGATAGCTTTCCAGTTTTAGCAACTCTTCGACAAACACCGAGTCTATTTCTGGCTCGGCATTCCCATTTTCTACATGGTTATGACACTACTGAAAACGCACCCGTGTCAATTCAACCCAATCCTAGCCGCTTACTTTTTCGATATCAACATTTTTAAGCCGATGGAGGTATGAAAGCCGCTCATTAACCGGATATGATCTATATATTTAGGCAAACACCCTTCATATCACAAATAACGTCGGGCTGACGGGGTGTGTATTGGTGTTGAACGTAGGGTCCAAGGTTCTCCGGAGTTTACGAAATGCATTTTAGGGCAGCCTATGCTATATTCCCTACCGTTTTTCTAGCAAACGCTCGATGAGTATGACAAATCAGCAGAAAGTTGTGAGTTTGCGAGAGTCGAAAAGAAATAGAGAGAGAGAGAGCAAGAGGGAGAGAGAGAGAGAGAGAGAGAGAGAGAGAGAGAGAGAGGGAGAGCTAGAAATTTTGCAGATCATCATCCAATGTGTGTTGATCTGCGCCATCACCGGCACGATGTCGGGCATGTACTGCTTTATGCAGCTGGTATCTATGCCCCCGATTTTCGGCTCGATCTCGACAATTATGTGGCAGTTGACTAATGGTAATTCTCAAGAAACAAAAAAACATTGGTTTTAAGGAACTCCCGCTCTCGTTTATCTCATCGTTAATAAATCCATTCGGAACGCCGTTTTAAAGGGATTTGGAATGATAGGTTAGACTTGAAGTTTTATCGTACTTTATAACATTTTTAGACGATCAACACGCTCGGATTTACTGCTGCGGCGCAGCCAGTGGGTCGTGAATCTATTTTTATAGGCTTTGCCCGATTTAGGGGTGCATACTACTGAGGCACCCGGAACGAGCAGCAGCGCTGGCAAATACATCCAGGCCGACAATAATTCGAAATAATAGGATAAAAACTTAAACCGGCAATAAAAGCACTAAAGGGTCAAATTTATCGCTTTTATATGGTTCTAATTAAAAGGGTTTTGACAAATTGCATCCCATAGCTATCGTAGATCTTGGTTTACAGCAAAACCCTTATTTTCAATCGGCGCTCGAATCGGGGAACATGTTAGGAAAAAGGCGTATCTCTAAAAAGCGTATCCGTTTTCTCTGTCACGGATCCTAATCAGACAGAGAATCGATCCCGGGTAACTGTTGCGAGCGCCCATTGATTCCTCGAACCCGGAAATGCATCCCTATTTCACGTCCCGGGCGGCGAGGCGGTCGCTAGCCGAACAAACAGCCTTCAGGAACATTCTACGAAGCTTGGCGGTGGCGTTGTCGATATATGCTCTGGGGGTTACTGTATGTGTCTATTTGCTAAATCGCGGCCAGCATGCGCTATGCGGGTAATTTACACACTAAAAAAACGGGCGGTGTTTTATTAGGAGACCATCAGGGACGACATGCCGCCCAGGATGGTATCCGGCACCGGAATTCAAAAAGTGCCTCAAGGTAACGTCGTGTGTCAATTTTGGCCGGCTTAAAAAGGGGCTGCGTGTGGGGTATTATTGCCGAAAATCAGCAAAAAAAATTATTTTTAAAAAACTTATTTTTTCTTGACATTCCTGTACATACAAACTTTGCAAATTTTTATCAAAAATATAGGTCGGTAGATCGATAAAAATCGATAAAAATCTGTATTGTTTTTCACCCTAAACTAAACAAATTTCAAATTTTGAAAAATCTCGTCATTTTTTCGATTTGAAATATAAATAGCTTTAAGGCCAATAAAACACACGCTATATTAGTATGTTATTTTGATTATCAGGCTAACAAGTTCAACTCAGTTTTTGAAACAAGCTCGTGAATTTGTCGATTTTAAATAAACAATTTTACTAAAAGCGATTAATATAGCATACGCTATAGCATGTTACTTTGTTTCCTAGGTACTTTGTCGGGCTTATCGGGGAAAACGTCCAGGTATTCTTCGGCCAAACAAGCTCCATCACCGCGGCACAAGCGTGTCATGCCATGGACGCCGTGCTGCTGACCCTCAACAATATCGAGGAGGAATATTTTGTTTTAAGTAGGTGGATTTACCTGGATTTTATTTCGCGGGTAAGACTTTACTTTACCCCCACGCCCGAAGGATTTCAAAGTTTTCGGTATTTTCGCTTATTTTGCTGGTGTTTTTGCAGCGCCATTCGATAGTGCGTCGAAAAATATACTAAGAGTAATGTAAAATAAAAAAGTTGTAGTCAAAAACTACCGGCGGGGGGGGGGTAAAGCAAAATGCAGCCATTTCGCGTTTCAGACATGGAGGTTGGCGGGGAGCCGCTGCGCAAGAGATGTGAATACTTACTGCTGAGCCCGTGGTCGGAGGTGAGGGCGCTAAATCACTCACGCTGAGCGGAATTCCAGGGCTCTGGCCGGCAGCTCACCGGACCAAAAGGGGCACAAACGCTGTATTCGAATTTCGTGGGCGATGAGCAACAAAAAGATGAGCGCTGCGCGTGGATTGAGGTAATTAAATGGCACACCGGCGGCATTATCTTACCGAATTTAGACGCGCCGTTATAAACCGCCTCACCATCCACCGACCAATTTTTCGGGCACCTGGATTAGCGAGGGTTGTGACGTCGCACGCTCGAGAAGCGCCTACATTTGTGAAAAGGAAGAATCTATTAAGGATGAATTATAAAAAGGGGCATTCAACACAGGCGAACAACAGCCTAAATTTGTTTTGAAATTGGCTAAAATTTGTCTACGATGTTAACGCCTACACAAACCAAGAGCTTGAATTTTTATACACTCAAAACTCCGCATGATTTACGGAAGAGGCATTACGACGTGGTTTATTATCATAATTTCACTGTAAATTAAAACATTATTTCTGATTTTATTTACTAAATTTTAAGCTAAATATTGATTACTCAGATATTATGTATTTATGAAATTGATCTTACGTATTTAAACATCTGGACGAGATTTATTGCGCTGGAAACAAAAAGGCGGTCTAGTAAACCCTTACGAGATTGAGAGAGAGAGAGAGAGAGGGAGAGAGAGAGAGAGAGATAGACAGAGAGGCCGCTGACTGATATCCTTCGCTGCTGATCCCCCATTCAATCTCCCACTCCAGTCACTTGCAACAGCTAATTTGGGTGTCGACATTTCATCTTTTCTGCCATTTCTTTTTCTTTCATTATTTTTTTCTTTCATTTTTGGTTTTGTTGATGGCGCCCCGGCGCAGGGCCTCAACCCGTGACAGCGGCACCGAGGAGGCCGAGGCTCTCATCGTCAGAAAGGGGCTTCTGGCCCAGCGTACGACTGAAAGTCGGCGTTTACTCGGGCTTACGCTGTCGTTATTGATCTACAATTCTGTTGCTACATTTTGGGTGTATCTGTCGGCAACCGACGCGGACGTAAAATGCAGGTGGGATGAATGCTTAAAGGTACGTGCCGGTGTCGTAATCGTGATTACAAGGCTACGACTAGGGTATTCGACCGTTTACTAGGGAAGCCCGTATAAACCCGGACTCAGAATTGGCTGAAAATTTGCACACAGGTAGAATCGACCACGCTGATCATCACCTCGTGGTCCAAATTTGCTAATCCTACTATATATAAAAAAATAGTGTCTGTGTGTGTGTGTGTGCCACTTTGCATCCACTTCCGTCTGTCTGTCCGGAGGATATCTCAAGAAGGGACGGGTATTAGGCTACGTATGATACGTCATTAGGTGCGTAATGGTCTAGGGATGACTGCACACATATCATGTTTTTAAAAATTAGCCATTTTCGCTATTAAATTTAGGTTTTTGTAAAAATCTCTTTGTTAGGCATAATTAGCATAGACCGGAAGTGGGTGGTCGCCTATATAAAGAGACATAAAGGGTTGTTTTTCATTATTTTTGTCCTGAATGGAGGACAATTATGCAAAGGGTAGAATAGTATGGGGTCCGAGACGGGGCCAGGGTTGGAAAGTCGCGAAGCGGCTTTTCAACCCTGGTAATTTTTAAAATTCGAGATTTGCTTTTAAAGCGATCCTTTATTTAGAATCGTCAAACTTCATGCTCGATTATTCTGATCTTCCCAGCCGATTTCCCAAAAATAAATATCGCCATCGTATTCAAAAAAATTTTCTCTTTCAAATGAGCTTTCTAACTCAAAAATTTCGGTAACTCGAAAAAATTGAAAAATCGACGACCGCGATTTTTAATGGGAAATAGTGAAAAACGGCCTACTTCAAACAGCTGTAGCAGTCGTCTAGAGGAAGCCTACCTTAATGAAATATACGATTCGAATCAGAAAAAATTCTCTTTCAGATAGGCTACTTCAAATAAATTAGAACTCCAAAATAAAAAAGAACGGCATCATGACAAAACACTTCTCGGGGGCGAAAATCGACACCATACATCGATATCTCGAGTTTTAAAGATCAGTACCAATTTCGGACAACGAGGTGATGATCAGCATGGTCCATTCTATCTGTTTGCAAATTTTCAGCCAATTCTGAGTCCGTGTTTATACGGGCTTCCCTAGTTAGGTCCGTCCCTTAAAGCACAAGCGCATATTTAGATACGCGATCCTTGAATTCGTTAACAATGAGACAGTGACGGCGTTGCCGATGATGACCCCAACCAAGGCAGTTACCACGAGGGAAATCACCACCAAAAAGCGCTTTACCACGACCACCGAAAGCCCAGTTGCAACTTCTGAGCCCTGCCCGGACACCTGGATTCACATGGAGCAGTTTTCCAAGTGCTACAAGGTGGACTGCTTTTACATTTTTGCGCGTGTTCCCCTGATAGTAGATGAACATCCCAAAAGGAAGGACAACACAACGAAAGTCCCCTCCACCCCTCTTTGCAGCCTTTCTTGAAACCGGCAAACTATCTGGAGGCGGAGGCAAAATGTCGCGCCCTGGGTGCGGAAATCTTGTCCATCGACAGCTGGGAGGAGAACCAGGCCGTTACCCGTATTGTTCACTCCCCTTAAAAGTTTACATCACCGTTTTTAGACCTGAAGGTGAATGGCAAGCTGTTGCGGAACAGCTATAGATCAATACCGCTCGCACCACGGTTTCATGTGAGTCGCATGTATACCGTTTCCCTAATTTATATTTGTCTCTCCCCTCTACCTCGCTTTCTCTCTCTCTCGCTCGCTTTCCCTCCCTCTCTGGCTCTCTCTCTCTCTCTCTCTCTCTCTCTCTACCCTCTCTCGTTTTCAACCTCTCTCTCTCTCTCTCTCTCTCTCTCTCTCTCTCTCTCTCTCTCTCTCTTTCTCCCCTTTTCTCTCTTTGTCTCGCTCATTTTCTGTGTCTCGCTCTCCCTCTATCGCTCCCCTTCTTTTTAGCCCTCTTTTATTAAATTTACAAATTATTTTCATTTTTATTAATTTTAAAACTAGTTAGTTTTTTTGATAGAAGTTAACGAGAGAATTATATGGGCCACACGGCGAGAAGGTTCATTTCACGAATTTCTATGATGACGGCAAGGTGCGGGAACCCAACGGCATCTACGCCAACGAGAATTGCCTTGAACTTTGGGTTTGAACGTTCAGAAGTGCGCACCAGAGAGCCCCTTTTTAGAGGGCCGATCATAATGAACCAACGACCGAGGAGGCCTTTTCGATGAGGTGGAACGACATACCATGTGAATGGCGGCGTGACGCGTTTATTTGCGAAAAGAAAGTGACGAGTATTGTTGATCAATAAATTTTTTTCTGATCAGAGATTTCCGGAAAATTCGTGCAGGGGTATCCCGGCGCTGCAGGGGTTGGTTGTTGGAGGAAAGTGAGAGAGAGAGAGAGAGTGAGAGAGAGAGAGAGAGCGAGAGTGAAAGATATTGATATAGAGTGCGAGAGAGATAGATAGAGATAAAGAGAGAGAGAGAGAGAGAGAGAGAGAGAGAGAGAGAGAGAGAGAGAGATTCGATAACCTGACTCGCAATATTTTTCCGGTTTCTAGCTACTGGGTGCCCTTTGACCTCTTCGGCCTGAAGGCGGCAATGCCTTTAGATCAAAGCGCGACCTTCGAGATCAAAGCGGTCAAAAAGACATTTGTAAATCGTCTGCTCAAGGCTATAGAAGCCTTTTTAAAAAGGGCGCGAAGACGACACCAAGCAAAATGCTTCGTCTGTGGTTCTTCTTAGGACTCTTGCTCCTCGCTCAGGTCAGCTGCGTTTTGCGCCCGTTGGGCCTCCCTCATCTTCGGCTCTTTCTGCCGATTGAGTATAGCTACTTTCAGTTTTTTGGAATTTTTTTGGCTGCGTAAAAGCGACACATAAACCTGATTTCAAGAAAAATTCAGGAAAACTGTTTTTAGAAAAACAACGGCATTCCTGATAGGCACGATCCCGTAGCAAAAACACGCGCTATAAATTTCTTAAAAGCTAAAACATCTTTTTAAAAAAGCTCTACTAGATCAGAGCTCGGTTAGGGCAAAAATTCTAGGCCTCAAGGCCGGCCCCGGGCCTGGGTATGGGCAAACCATGCCGTATCGGAGGCCCGGCATGCCAACAGACCCTGTTCTGCTGCACGGATCCGAATGTGAGGAACAGGTATATGACTAAGACTCTACATATTCCTTTTATATAACTTTTAATAGCGTTGACGTCTAGCGCAAAAAATCGAGATCCAACCAATTTTTCCAGCGTTTCCGGCGTCTGTAGGCATCTTTTACAAAAGCCAGGGCTTCGTTGCGGCAACAATCGTGGATGATGGATAGATTTGGCTATAATAAATCTTTCAAAGCCTTTAGGATTTTTGAGATCAGGCGATAGAGCACAGAAAGAGAGAGAGAAAGCGAGAGAAACAGAGAGAGAGAGAGAGAGAGAGGGAGAGAGAGAGTGAGAGAGAGTCTAGCTGAGGGAATCAAGCGTCAGTCGACAATTTTGTAAACACAGGCTTCCGACGTAACAAACGCTTGATTTCTCTGACCGCCCATTTCCATCGTCAGAGAAAGCAGCCAAATGGCCTTTAACTGTAACTTTCTGGCCTTTCTTCTCCTTTCTGTGGCACTTTGCGAAATAGCTTTCGCCGTTGACGAGGTATGAATTCACAAGGAACGGTCCTGAATGTAACGCACTTTTTAGAGCTCTTTAACCCGATCCGGAAATCACGTAGCCGGCGGAAAAACCTGTCGAATTGGGGAAACACCCTGTGAGCCGGGATATTTTTGCTGTGCATCGAAGAAGTCTATGTAAGCGGATAGAGCTTGAAATAGCCTTTTTTTAAAAAAGTTTTACCGGCAGCTGCAAACCGATGATCGAGAAAAATGTGCTGCAATGCTGATTTTGTGTCCAGCGGCTCCGGCAAAAAGGTCAAATTCCTAACATTTTTGATTGCGTTTGAATAAACCCGGCCCAAAATTTATTTTTACGAGAGAGCATTATAGAGAGGAGTGAGAGCGAGAGCGAGGGAGAAAGGTGTTTTTCTCGTGCTTCAAAGGCAAATGGGGCGCGGGAAAAAAGAGAACCCTAGTTTAGCCCGGCCAGAATGTGCAAACTGATGATCGAGGAAAAGCGTTGGAATGCTAGGCGCAAAAACGATTACGTTGCGAAATAAAACTCTTAAAGAGCGGGGGATGTAATACTGATTTATTGAGCAAGAAGGACCTCGAACTTCGAAAAGTCATAGCAGCATCGAGCAGCTTCACGATCGGCTCGGAGTTAGCTTCCGCCAAATAGGTTCTAAACCCTTCTGTCTTTCTTCCATAATGACCAGGATTATAGATAATTTTTTCAACGTTCTGGCTGGCTATTAAGGATCAAGAAACTTACTAAAAGACCTCCTTTATTGACCGACGCGCCAATGGCGGGTGGCACTGGAGAAGCCAAAGGTAACTGGGCTGAAATGGCTCGGTGTCTGATGGCCATTCAAAACCGCGCTAATATGTGGAGACCAAGTAACTTACCGAAAACCACGGCAAATACGAAGAGGATGGACAAGAAGAAATGCATTTCGAGACTAGTATTTTACTGGTGTCTGATGGCTAAGATATATTGCTACCGGTTCCAGTCCGGTGCCCAGAGGAAGTCACGAAAATGCAGAAAAATGTGTGCCCGAAAGGCGGCTATTCGGGCTTGTGATTAAAAAGAAACTGTGCGAAAAAGAAATCCTGTGTTTGCGGAGATTTCTGATCGGTTTCTCTTTGGCTCGACATTTCTTTTTTGGATCGATAACAGATTGTAATGTGTTTACTTTTACGATCAATGATAGAGAGCGAAAGAGATAGAAAGAGAGAAAGAGAGAGAGAGAGAGAGAGAGAGAGAGAGAAAATGAGCAAGAGAGCGAGGGACAGATCGTTGACAGTTGTCAATTTTCCCAAACCGGTTATTCGACTTTTTGGCCAGCGCGAAAATCACCCCAGCCCGGGTCAGTTGAGTCAATATTTTTGCATCGTGCCCCGATTTTCGCAATAGTTTACACGCATTGCCGATCGGGGATTAAAAATTTTATGGCTATATAAAGAGCTGAAGCTCGAGTTTCGGTGTGACCTAATTTTTGAAAAATGTTTCGTGCTTTACTAATAATTCTGCTGATCATCTCCTGCGATTTGGTGCTGGCAGCTGGCTATAATAAGGTAACGTTTCATATGAAATTTAATTATATTTAACTTTAAGTTCATTCTTGATGTAATTTTTGCATTTTCAGGCAACTCTCGGCCCTGGAGATCCCTGTACTCGCGGTGTAAACGACGACCAATGCCCAAAAGGCTATTTTTGCTGCGCATTTGCCCGTGATGGATTTTGTGGAGAGATTGGGAAAGTGTTTTGTTGAATAAACATTTTTAACCATTTTCTGGTTTCTTTTCATGAATAAACGTCTTTAAAAGTAAATTTTCTTTGCTTTGACGTGTTTCAGAGGCCCTTGAAATAGGAATTGGGCTGAATGGGAAACGTTTAAATCAGCATTGAATGCTATGACAAATCAGGGCCGAACGAAACCTGATAAATTCATTTTTCCCGTCCACATATAAGCCCACTGACTTGTCGGTATTTCAATTTCTGATCAAAGGCCGTCATCCACATAGAGACAAAATAATACGCCGATATGCCAGCGCGTTTTACGGTATTCTTCTTTCTGCTGGTGTTGTTTTTCCAGGTGGGAAAAGATTATTTATTCACTATTTTTTGCCCCAAAAAAAATTTAAAATTAAATCAAAAAAACACAAAGAGCTCATGCCGTGATTTTTAGACCTCGCTTCAAGTTGAGCCAGAGCTATGGCTGCTGGAGAAATGGGTAAGCTTCACCATTTTTGGCTGTGGCATCCCGTAAACGTTTTGCCTGAATTGCTAGGATTTTCCGCAACCGGAGTGAAAAACCTGAATAAAACTCTTAAGGTTTTTGATTTTTCTAAAGTTTCTAAACGTTTTACAACTTCCAAACCAGGTTTTGGCGTCATTACGCTCCGAGTGCGGCGGCAATCTATTAGCTGGTAATTTGCAAATGCTAAAAAAATAAAAACGTAGGTAAGATTACCACTTCCAGGCCCCGAGAACGATGTGCACGCTAATAATGCCCTGACCGCACGACGTGTTGCTTCGTCGGGCTTCCGAAACCGCATGGGGAATGCTTCCCGGGAATTCACATCGGATGCGATTGATTTTTTGCTTTTGCTTTGTTTTGTGAGGAATGAAGTAAAGTAAAGAATATTTCAACTTGTACCCGCAATAGCGCATTAACGACAATTATGCCGAAAATTCCGAAGAACCACTTCCGCCTTTTTAAAAGCTTGAGCTCATAGGGCTGCGCCCCGAATCCTGAAAGACACTCAAAACCGCGTGTCATACCCCAACCGGAAGCTAAACGAGCAAACAGAATTGATGAGGGTAAGCTATAAAATTTGAGCCCGAGCTTCCGGAAGCATTCGAAACATGCGTTTCTTTTTCTTCATTCTCCTACTCGTCGCCGTTGCTGTAGCTCTCACCGGGCGTGGCCGAGACTTTGAGGTGATTTACAGTCTTCAAAATTCAGCCGGGGCTTACAGAAAATTTCTACACAGCATTGGTCTTGAGTTTGAGCTGGCGTTCCATATAATAATACCAACTTGACAGCCGGATGACATCCTATGCGATTTGGGCTCCACTGACCAGTGCCCGAGAGGGAAAAAATGCTGCCCAGCCGGTGCCGAGGGATTCTGCTTTCCGGAAGATGAATGCTGAATTTTGCGATTACAACTGATATATGAATAAACGTTAAATGGACGCAACGGACGTATTAAAAATACAGGACAAACGGAGCGTTATAAAGCTCCTAGTGGGGGTCATGAAACTCTGACTCGTTGCACCACAGACCTATCTATCTCGCTGTTGAGGCTTCACGCTTCCCGTCTAGCTAGCCCCCGCCTACTGTATCTCGGCTCCCCGTACGGCTACAAGGCTGTAACGTATACGTTAAAGAAGCATTCTGAGGCCGGTTGCACGCTAATAGTCTTAAAAATGCGTCCATAGCTGAGTAAGCTACGAAAATCAGATACAATTGTTGAGCTTTTCATGCATTTTTGAGCTAGGAGTTTCAAAACATTAGAATATCGACAATTTTGCATAATTCTGATCAACGTACACTCTCAGACAAAAAAAAGACATGACTGCTCCTCATTTGCTACTACCCGTTTTCCAAACAATGGCTCGGCGCTTCATCCAGGCCGCCAGCAGCCGCTTCAAGCGCTCCAAAAAGGTATGTTCGGGTAGGAATTAGGTGTAGTCCACCCCCATCCTTTCGTATCTCGGCTTGACGTTACTTTATTGGGTTGTGAAGTATACTAAACCGTCTGGCTTGGCTAGGTATTTTGGTATACTTTAAAGCGGGGTAACAGTCCGGCTGGGGGGGTAAACTGCACTCTTACGGTATTTTGTCTAAGCCCCCTACGTCAAGTTCTTCATCGCCGCCAGGCAGCAGCCGTGCAGGTGACACCCCCGTGAAGCCAGAAACCCGAACGGTACGCCTGTAGACCCTTAACGAAATCTATTTAAGATTGGTACGTGTACGGATGACGTAGATTGGATGATCCGGGAGGTTGTCGTTGCCCGCTCGGTGCAGAACGTTAAGGTACCCGACCTTATTTATACTGACCTCGTCTTTAGAGCCCCGACGCTCTCATCTCGGTCGCGCAGTTCATGAGGATGCCGCTCTCCATCTGGCTGAGCCTCATGAACCTGCTCAGCCCGCGCGACTTGCTCAACTGGGCACATGCGCACCCGTTTTTCAAGGTGGCTGCAAAATTCATGATCAATCCCGATATTCAGGACCTCATCACCAAGTCGCCGAAACGGTGGGCCAGAGTCAAGGGGCGCGAGGCAATGAACTACGAGTATCATGGACATCGCGAGGGATGGGAGGAGGCAAAGTAGGGTGCTCTTGTTCGTGTAGTTGCCGGTTTCCAGGGCGTACAAGCTGACGTGGAGCCGCTTCTGGTGGGAGAACGAACAGAAATACATTCTGGCCTACGGAGATGAATATTCGTAAGAATATTGAAGAAATACTACCTATGGCACAGCTTCGCACGGGACGATTTCTACTACAAAGGCTGTGACGAACTCCATTTTGTTCCGCTCCGTCCGGGTGTTGATCGCGAGAAAGTGGCCGTCGAGGATTTCCTTATCCTATTCAACAACGCGACCTTTGACCAGGTGACCCTGCCAGGTTTGCCTTTAGCTAAGAAACGTTCTTCAGGTCGCCATCGGCCCCAAGTGGGAGCTGCCCGACCTCGAGAAGTACAACATCCGCCCATCCATCCGTGCCCATGCCGTCATGCTGACGTGCCCAACTGAAGAGCATTACGCCCAGATGCGTGGGTCCTCTATAAGGGTATACACTAAGGCTATTTTTAGTGAAATTCGAGCCGCAGTGCGTGGCCCTCGACGTTTCCAACAAGCCAAAAGTTGGCGCACTGCGCTCGGCGGTCAAAACTGTGATGACCATGCTTCCGGTGCGGCCTTCAATTTCTTGGAAAACCTTTTGCGAAAGCAATCTTTTTAAACATCTTTTAACGCAAAACGCATATTTGACTTTCTACCCCTTTTAAGGACTTGCCAAAACTGTGGGTGGTCGTTGGCCGCGAGGTCGCTGAGGTGACCCTGCTCTGCGACGTCCCCTCGCCCACCATCGTCGCCTATTTCGATGTGGTCGGAGGTGCCTTGCCGATGCTGGCCCCCATATAACAACGCACCAGATTATCGACGAATCCGAGGCGATGCTCCACTGGTCAAAAAATTCGAGCGCACCTTGAAGCCGACGTTGAACACCCTGATTAAGGTCAGTACTGGTCAACACCAAGCTAGCATTTCTAGAGAATTTCCCTAAAAAAAAACCTTTCGCACTTCTGGCTTAAGTGCAGTTTAGGCCCCCAGCCACCAACTTTTGTATCTCGGCTCCCTGTTTATCTACAGGTGTGTGTAAGGTATATCAAAATACTCGCCAGAGCAAGGCGAACATTTTAATATACTTTATTCAGCTGTAGACCAACAAGAAGCCGAGATAGAGAAGTTGGGGGCCGGCTGGAGGGGGGGGGGTAAACTGCACTCTAACCCCTCTTCTGAGGACCTAATTTTTCAAATATAAATGGTCTAAGTGTTTCTAAGAGGTTCTTGCTGTTCATAATCGTGAAAACTACAACTTTTTATTACGATATACCAAGAATACAGATTTCTCTATCAAAATGGCCGGTTTTTGACCAAAAGCTCAGCTTTTTGAAATTTTTTTACATAGTCTTCCAGTTAAATAGACTATTTTTTAATCAAAAAAATACCAGAGTTGAAAAGCCGCTTCGCGACTTCTGAAGCTACACGTTTTTGCAACTTGGCGTTTTTCAGCAGTGGCAGCGACGTGAGCGTGACATTGACCACATTGCACTGATCTCACTCCGGTCTTCGGAGAGCGAGCCGGTTGACTGGGCTGACTGGGAACGCGTCTACCCAGGTTTGTGGTTGCCGTGGGTTGTTGGCTGTGAACAAAAAATATGATAGCCAACAGAAACCAAAATTTGTGCAAAATAGGTTAGTAGTATAGTTCGGGTTTCAGGGATCTGCGAGCTACCCGGCGAACTCTGTAAGGGAAAGACCGATCCGTACTGCATCGACTGGGCTAATGAAGCGCACGAATTTTGGCTGATTCGTCGTGGACCCGCAGTCGGCTGTTCTTCCGTAGAATCCGAATCTTTCCCTTTCAGAGCCACGAGGGCCTGTTGATCGGTGTGAAGGGTCCGAGTTTCCTGCTCATCTCCTGCGACTACAACTTCCGCAGGTCGACTTTTCCGGAACAAAGTCGAAGCGCCAAAATTTGTTTAGAACGCGCACCAAAGAGGCTTCCGGCAAGTTCTTTGAGGCTTCCCAGCAGGCTCAGAAGAACATCAAGGACGCCTTCGTGGGTGACGATCCGGAAGTGGAGTCGAACTGGCGCAGCAGACTGCCCAGAAGGATCATCACGGATGTAGGATAATTCCGATAGCTTTACATCACGTTTAGCGTCTCGCCGCGGTGGAACGCGCTGAGCTCGCGTTCAAGGAATGGACCAAGATGGAGCCGCACAACTCGGTGCCGATCCGCGAACGTGCCATCGATCGCTTGGTAGAATTTTAAATGCAATTTACTTTTGTATGTCCGCAAACGTAAAAACCTTTGGATAGCAGCAGTTTTGGGTTAGAGTGGATTTTACCCCCCCCAGCATGCACCCAACTTTTGTATCTCAGCTCCCTGTTCATCTACAGGTGCGTAAAGTATACCAAAATGTGTGTCTTGATCTGGCAAGTATTTTGGTATACTTTACAGACCTGTAGATGAACAAGGCGCCGAGATACGGTAGGCGGGGGTCGGCTGGGCGGGGGTTGACTTAAGCCCAGTTTTGGTTATGCGTCGTTCCCATGTTATTAAGGGTTTCAGACAGTTTAAAGTAATAGAAAAATGACGACTTAACCTTGGCAAATTAACCGACGAAAATTGACAAATGCTAAGTCTGATTTTTGGTATTTTGGGCGATCGAAACGAAATAACGTCCCTCAGTTATGACCCTCGTTTTTCTATCAAATTTGCCTCCAGGAAGTTGGCGAAGAATAAGAGACCCGGTAATTGTGTTAGGGAAAAAACGGTAATGCCGTTCAGCTATTCAACTCGGTGTACCGCCACTCCTGCGAGACGTCGTTCACGGTAGCAACTCGTGTTCTCGTATCCAGCTATTGCTTTAAAGCCGACGTTCGAATTCGACCCGCCGAAGGACACGCTCCTCGGCCGCTACATTTGGCGTCGGTCGTTTATCATTCATGGTGAGGAGATTGCAGTCGCCTAAATTTTTAAAAAATTTTCGCGTGTGAAGACGCCCGATATTTCAGATGACGAAGACGACGCCGAGTTTTGACTGGCTGCAGCTCGCTCATTCACGACGTACAGTTCATCCCCGTTGTCATCGCATTCGCCCTGCTTCCGTTGACCTGACCTCGAAAGCGTTTTTCTATAACCTACTCACGTGTGATTTGCCTGTAAATCTGGTGGCTTTGGTGTAATAAATCGGGATGAGAAGATTTAGGAAAAATTTTTTTTGCTTTACAACGTATCATCCAAGATACCAAAGATAGGGTGTCGCAAATACATCTCTCTCTATCTCTCGCGCTCTCTCACTTATTCTCTCTCTCTCTCTCTCTCTCTCTCTCTCTCTCGGATCAAGGTTGGCTCACGCCACGAGGTCAGCGCGGTGTTGTCAAGCTCCTGTAGATATCGGCAATAGAAAACGCCAAATTCCCCACAAAATATATGCATGAGGGAGGTCCTGATCGGGACGCCATATAAAATCGTTGAGCCCGGGAATTTCTACCATAGTTGAAAATGCGCTTCTTCACCCTGTTCTTCCCCGCCCTGGTTGCTGTAGCTCTCGCGGGCAGGCCGGAATCTTCAGGGGTTCGTTTTTTAACTTTCTTAGCTCTTTAGAATTATAAAATGTATGGTCATGACAGAAGAAAAATGAAGGCTTAAAGTAGCCCCAAGCCGTAAGCCCAAGCCTAAGCCTATGCCTCAGCTAAGTCTAAGCCCAACCCCAGGCCGATGAAGTGGGAACTCACTTTTTGGTCCCATATTTTGATCACGGTATGAATCCGGCTTTTTAAACTAATTTTCTAGGTCCGTCCCGAAGATGCGGACAGATGCGACCTGAGCATGCAGGACTGCCCGCCCAACTTCAAGTGCTGCCCGATTGGCCGGCATGGAGCGGCTTGCTTCCGTGATGGAGAATGTTAAAACTGTGCGACCAAAATGAATAAATTTATTGGGTTCGTTGGCTGTTTACAGTGTATTTAGCATTTGTGGACTCACGTCTCGATTTAGATCCATAGGTCAATTTTAAGGCGTACGTAACGGGAGTTGTTTGTATAAAGTACGATCTCACTCTCTCTCCCTCTCTCTCCCCGCCCTCTCTCGCTCTCTCTCTTTCTCTCACTCTCTCTATCGCTCCCTTTCCTCTCTCTCTCTCTCTCTCTCTCTCTCTCTCTCTCTCTCTCTCCTTCACTGTGCCCAGTTGCTTTGCGTTAGTAACCTTATACGCTCAGCAAACTTACTGAACACGTACTTGGAAAAACTTTATTTACCTAAATCCTTCACTTTAGTTATTGCAAAGTTTTGTTGTCTTGCCAAGAATTCAGCGGCTTTTCCGGCTTCTGCGGAACTCATTAAAATGGCTACGACGCGCTTTCTTGCGATTTTGGCAAAGCATCCGACTGAAACAAAAGTTTAAAAGCCCTTTGTGGCGGAACCGTTTGAAGTTCCGCTTTATAAAAGCGAAAAATTGCCTCAAAACACAACTGCTGCCAACTCCAAGTCGAAAAATCCGCGATGAAGCTGCTCGCTATTCTTCTGGTTGTGTTCTTTCTGAGCCTACAGCTAGCGACCGGATTTGTAAGTTATAAAATTTTAAAAACACGGATGGGGTCTGAATTTCATATTATTTGAATTTCATTTTGTCTGAATTCGAAGCCATCCGGTTCATTTAGGATTCGGTTTGCTACGTCGGAAAATCGAACAATTGTCGGCCGGGCTACCAAAAGTGCTGCCCGAACACGAAAAAGAATGACCAGGGGAGCTGCTCGTATACCGATCAGGAATGCCCGCCACCTTTGCATTGAAATGGGAATAAAGGTGTTTTTCGAAAAATTCGATTGATGTTTCATGGCGGTTCTTTGCTTCCCATAAATCCTGGAATTTTTTTTATTGAACTTTTTCTCTTTCGGTTTTCCTAGCTCCTTTCCCTCTCTTTCTTCAGCCCTGGGTTTCTGATTTTTCTTCGATGTCTTGCTAATTTATAACATTTACCGCCAACCAGCCGAACATGAAAACGCTATGGCTGTTTTTCTATTTATTCTGCCAATCCAACATTTCTATCATGGCTCTGCCGTTTATCGCCCAGCGCTACGTAAGTTCCGATCATGGCAATGGCAGTGAAATTGGTATAAAATCCTTTCGAAACCGACAAAAACGCGAATTTTTACTCCAGGATTCATCTTGTCTCGTTGACCACCCGAACAACTGCCGCCCGGGCTACGAGAAATGCTGCCCAAATACGAAAATTGGAGTCCATGGAAGCTGCTATGAACCCAAAGATGCATGTCCTGTGAATGCATAATAACTTTTGATTGAATAAATTTGAAGAAGATGGAAACGTCGAAAAATCTTTATCTTTTTCAAAACCGGGACCGCCCGCTTGGACTGATATTTGAAAAACAGTGAATAGATTGAATCTAAAACCGTCACATATAAGAGTGGTTTCTTCTTATTTTTCACATCCGCTTCTGTACCACTTCAAAAAATGCACCGCGTCACATTCACCCTCCTGCTTTTGCTGGTCATGACCATGGCCATGGCTGTGCCAAAAACCTTCAATTCGATGGTATGGACATATACATAACTTCTCCTCTCAATTTTTTATTGACAAAAATGAATGCATTAAATTCCAGAGAGACGAATGCCAGTACAGCACACAGATCGGGTGCACGTTCGGATACGCCTGTTGCCGCCGCGATGGTCACTACTTTTGTCAACAGCGCTGTTAAGGAAAGAACATGCGGTAAAAGTGTATAAATTTAATGCAGGAAAACGAAACTATTTTTCGACAGCTTGAAAGTCCGATAAAATGAAATCTCGACAAAATTATATTCAACAGATGCAAGCCGTTATCAAATTACCCACAGCAATATATATTTTTATTGAGCGAATGACACTAATAACAATAAAATTCACTACACATAGATTCTCCAGACCTAAAAAATTATATGGATACCTAAAGATTACTTTGGCCTTCTGGTCGGTTGGCCGATGCAGGTTCTTCACGGACAAGTTACACCCAACCCGCCCGGCCCTGTCCGCTGCCCGTTTTCGCCTCCTATCGCAAGGATCTGGCAAAACTTTATTTTTTCGAAAAATCGTACCGTCTGGGATTCGGTGTGTTTTGCTACCATCTGCATAGCGCGCCTTGTCTTGTGACTCGTACATATGGTCTAAATAAGTTTTGAGGCGGTGCGTTGATTTGAGGACCCGCGACGCGCAACGCGACCCGTTTTGGCGTTTGAAAGGGATGTGCAAGGCTTCATATCCCTAGCTTTTCACTCCGACACGCGGCGACACGCCACCAGCCACAATGCGCTCTCTCAGAGGTCACGGCTTGTTGGAGAAAATCTGGCATAGACGTGCATAGGCGTGCGTGTCGCGGGCGCGGCAAGGGCTCAAAGTCTTATTACGAGGCCGCTGAATGCCAGAATCTCCCCCTTTATTGGCTAGGTCTCGACAGCTACTAGGCGCGCCAAAAGATGACTGAAAGTGAGCTGAACTGAGCTAGTGAGCTGCTCTTGCTCGTGCTCTTTCGGCTGCGTGCCGCATGCCGGCTGCGCGCACGTGTCCTGTTTGGCTTGTCGCCTAGCTCCCGAGATTTATTCTATCAAAAGCATCGATTTTGGCACCACCTAATCCCTTTAAGGCTAGTTATTTGCTCTTGCAAGTTAAACTTTCCTGGATGTAATTCGTTGGACAGCTTTGCGAATCGCTTTCTGACGTCCGGCACGTCGCGCTGGAACTGGGCCACTAAGAACGGTAGTTAGAATTTTAAAATTGGCATTACCCTCTTCTCGGACATGCTGCGGCACACTATCAAAAATCATTTTCATCTAGGAAGTTTTAGAGTAAAAAAATATCAATATTACCGCGGCGGGATCATGGCCCTGCTTTCGCAGCCTTCGATACAGGGCCGTATCCTGGAACTCGTTAAAGTCCATCACTTCGGGGTGGCGTTCTAAAGAGGGAAATCTTTACGAGCATTGGGGAAAAGCGAAGCTGATTAAATTATTTTTTTCCCGGTGCCGTGCCACCTTAGAATGAAATAAAAACTATTCTACTGTTTTTTTTTGTTATGAAAAGAACCAAACAACTTTGTAAACTCGTCAAAGTTTGAAATTTTTGAATTTTCTACTGAAATCCCATGACGTTGCCATGTCGGACCAATAAAAACTTCTAAAAACACAAGGACAACACGTTACATTTTATTAACAGGTCCGTTTAGATAAAATCTAGAAAGCCCACCCCCCCGATAGAAATGATAAGTTTCAAAAAATCTGCAACGTACCCAGTTGCTTCCGCAACTTGTCGATTAACTGGCGATCGACTAGGTTGTTCGCTGGGTCCAACCCTAAAAGTCAAATATACATAGTTTTAAACGGATTTTACAAAAAACTTGCCCGATGTGGCAATCGCGAGCCGTTGGTCGGCAATTCGGGCTTGTTTTGGAGGAGGCTGATGAATATCTACCGGCACTCGACTTTTCGTTCGAATGCCGTCAAACCTTTCTGGTGCATATCCACGGCTTTCTTTTTCCCTAGCTGGCCTTTCCGGATGTAAGCTCTAGAAAGGAAGGAAGATCAACAGTGAGGAATATGAAACGCTACTGTTTGTCGCGTGCGGCGAACGCTTGGTTGACGTCGTCGAGCTGAAATTGAGTATCTCTCTGTCTCTCTCTCTCTCGCTCTCTCGCTCTCTGACCTCTGCTCTCGGAATATTCAATTCCTTGCTCAGTCCATCATGATCCAGGGGTAGGTTGAAGTGGGACGCAAAAAGACGCTCCTCCAGAACTCGAGCTTTTTGGGCGGCATCCAGTTGGTTGGCTCGTTCTAGACATTCAGCAAATTTCCAGATTGCTAGCTTTCTGGCCAACCGAGAAATGGCATCAACCGCGTCCTGCCCTTCTCGATGGCGAACCTGTGGAAACCGTCCAGGTCCGTCGACCAGGAATTTAGAACACCGGTGTATTGGCCTGAATTCGAGACCTACACGTTTCTATTCAGCCTACGTAGTTTCAAATTCTCCCTCAGCGCGGCATCATTTTTCTTTTTGTGGTCAGGATCGGTGGAGGGGACATCTGAGCGGGTTACGAGCTCTGATAGTGCTGAAAATTTTTACATGCAACAAGTTGATCCCGTGCGACAGCGGGCGGTAGATGACCAGGGCCCCAGGGTCCGATTTTGCGTTGCCCTGAAATACGTAGAACGGGATCGGCAGACTCACCCTTTCGATGTCTTCTGCGAGTTCCGGACGGCTTTACTTCTACTAGTTCGTCTGGACTTGGAGGGCCTGAAATGATTTTCAGGAAAACATTAGTTCTGGAATTTTTCTTGCAATTACTAATATTTATACAAAATGGACCAGATTTCTGTTCCTTCTCGGTTAAAAGCTCTATTACAAAATTACGATTTATGTATGTACATGCCTTTTGCGACAGCCCAACGGCAGTTTTTTCAAAGCCATTTGAGAAAACACGACCGGGATGGCGCTTAAGCCGATTATGTTTGCGTTTTTTTTTAGAAAAACGTTTAACTTTGGCATAAAAAATGTCGAAAATCGAGCGAAAAATTCGGGGTTTCTTGCGGGAAAAACCCGAAAGAACAGAGCTCCTCAGCTCGTCGAGAGCTGTCGACAGATACCTAAACCGTAAAAACGGACACCACTGCGGAGGTCAATGTAGGGATTGTTTTTGGGGCACCCTGTAACCAACAAAACATCTGATTGTTAACCTACGCCTTTCAGGTGTCGGGCTTTTTCGGGCTTGCTCAGCTGGAGGCTGATCGCCAAAGTCGCCGTATTCTAAAAAATGCCCCAAATCCCGTGGTCTTGTCCTACCAAACTCGTACACCGGTTTCGCGGCGTTTCTGGCGAACGGATCGGTAATACCCACACGCGGATCGAAGCCGAGCTCTAAACACTCAGATATGGACCAATATACTCCAGCTCGCCATCAAGATCCTGGTCAGTCCAGTCAAGCGAAAAAAGCTCTCCCCGCGGTATGGGCGGCGAATTCAAGCGGTTGGAAGGACCTTAAGAATTTGCAACGCTTTTTAACGCTGAAACCCGGCATATTCCACTCCATTCCGATTGCCGATGCTTCCGGGTCGTCGTCGTCGTCCACAAAAAGCTCGAACGCTGTTTTGTTATGGTGGGGCTATTAAAATTTTGGATTTTACGGATTCCATTCCAGTCGTCCGGGCTTCGTTGGCGCCATGGTGATTGTAGGGCATCAATCGATAGGCGCGGCCATAAAAATAGGGTGAGAAAAATAGCGATCAACATGGTTGGAAGTGACTACAGTTGGCGCTGCAACTAGTGGCCGGGAAATCAAGGTGTCACGTCGTGGAATTAAATTTGCTACCGTCAAGAAACGCTGCCAGGAATTTGATGACACTCGCTGTTGAAGAATTTAATTACCCTTTTATGCCATTTATACGCAAAAGCTTTCGTTCACGAGCTATTTCTGTATGTTGTTTGGCTGGTACTGCACTGTTTGCGGGGGCGGGGGGTTAGCTGGTGGTCATGAAATAAAAATCTTAACGGCTTCGTGGAGATTTGTTTTTATGATTTAGATAGCTATCGAAAGCTGGCGAAATGGCGAGCGAGTTTTTATGACTGAAAACTGTGAAAAGAGCTTATTTACGCGAATATCGGAACAGAAAAACACACCTTTTCTAGCAAGAAGCTTAATATCAAGAAAATGCTAAACAATTTAAGAAAGCGAAACCCGCTTTTTCCCTCGCCTTTTCGAGAGCTTTCGAATGGCATAAAAAACAGCCGGATTTGAGCTCCCTCCGCGCCGCTAGAGGGGGGGTCACTTTTTGGGACCCCCCGTATGCGCATTTTGATCCACGAATTGATAAACCTCCTCTCTAGCTCGTCGATTTCACAAAATTACTGTTGAACAGACTCTTTGCAAAATTTCGCAATTAGTCGATCAACCAAACACATCATCATCATCATTGTAATCGTCGCTGGTCCACCCCCGCCCGAAAAATCACCTCAATACAGCCTATTCAGCTTGGCCTCGCCACCTAGACCCATCTTTCTAATTCAATAAATTCTATTGACAAGCTGGCAAAATGTTTTTTGAGCAATTATTAATCATGTTTCAATTGGCCTTTCAGGGATCTCCTATAAAATGGGCGCAATGGTCTCGGTGATCATTAACTCCCGAGATGCGCCTCCCCTCGCTGATCCTGGTGTCTGTTCTCGCTGTCGATGCAATTATAAGGTTACTTCAAGCCAAAAAGTGTTAATTCAGGCTCGCAAAAATTTAGGGTGCCCCTAACCAGGAGAGCTCGTCCAAATCGTCGACATGAAAAGGCAGGGAAGGTCCCCGAGGAGCCGTTGTATACGGAGGATCTGGTTAGTTCGACAAATTACTAGATTTCTATTCGTGGGTTCCTACCCGATGCTCCAAAAAAGGCGGCTCTTTAGCGGTTCGTAGATGCGTCCGTTTTTACGATTTAGTTATCTTGGGAAAGCTCTTGGGTTTTTTTTTTGAGATTTTTCAAACCTCCTTTTTCAAAAAGAACACTGTCTGAAATTTTGTGCCGATGCTGGCAACCGAGGGCAGATCTTCGCGATTCACTTTAGAAAACACAGCTTTGTATGAAATTTTGGCATATAGCCGTGTTTTCTCAAATGGCTTTCCTAAAGCTGTTGTTGGGTCGTAGCAACGGCGCGGAAATTCATAAATTGTCATTATGTAAGAAAACCCTTACATCGGAGCAGCGTCAGTTATTCAATCCATTTAGCAAAGTAACTAGGAATCGTAAAAAAAATACGGGAGTTTCGGAAACTCGATGAACACATATCAGTTGATTTTTAGGATCCGTAAATCTATCAAATCTATCGAAGATAGAATAAGATCTATCGAAAGTCCTCAGCTCGTCGAGGACTTTCGATAGATACCTAACCCGCAAAAATCGAACTGCCGACTGCTAGCGGGGCTCTTTGTTGGGACATCGTGTACGCATAGCTCCAATCGTTCTTGAAACCTAAATTTCAGATGTTCTACTACGGAGAAATCGAAGTCGGGACACCGAGCCAAAAATTCTACACTGATTTCGACACCGGCTCAAGCGTCACCTGGCAAGCATGCAGCTCGTGTACGGAGGGTAGCTGCGCTCAGCAGACACTCGACAAGGTGCGCAAGTTTCGGCACCTTGGCGACCAGTTTAATATATTCATTTTAGTTTGGACCTATTAAATTTCAAAAAAAAATTCCTTTAGTTTGACTGCTCGGGGTCGAGCACATGCAATACGACGACTGAGAGATTCTCGGTACCGTACGCGGACCGGAGCGAGGTCAGCGGGCGCCTATTCACGGATCGTTTGTGTGTAAGTTTTTCCATTGTTTACTGCAATGCGTATGATCGACGAATTTAACAATGCCTTCCAGTTGGCTGGATACTGCACAAAGGAGCCGGTGCCAATTGGGTGCGCTGATACAATGAAGGGCGTTTTTACCCGGGTACGATAATTTCAAGCTACTCATCTTAGCAATCATATTTCCAGCTAATGCAATGATAAATAATGATATCTTTAAGCTACAGATTAACAATACAAAATTTTTTCAAATTTTTAGAAACTCGGGGGAATCTTTGGTCTCGACATCGCAGGGATCCCGATGTCTGCTCTACACAGTATTTTCAAAGACAAGGTTGGTCACTCGCCACGGCGAACAATGCAACAACTTCAGAAGAACTGCCCGGATCCCGTCTTTGCCTTCTACTTGAACACCACCCTCGACAACACCCAGCAAAGCGGCGGCGAGATCACGTTTTGTGAAACAGACCCGGAGCATTATCAGGTGCTTGAAAACCTGATGTCGCAATATCGTGATAGAGGGTATTTGAAAAGCAAATCGGAAATCATCACGTCAAACATCATGATCTCAAAATTTCATATGGTCTCAAACTTTATCAGGCCGAAATTTCATAACGTCGACATTTACCTAAGCAAATCGACCGGAAAAACTCCAAGTCCTCAACCAAAACTTTCGATCTATTGTAATTTTACATTCAGAAATTTCGACATTCTGAAATTGCGGCCTCATGAAATTGGCAAAATTCCAAGGGTCTGAAATTGCGATATTTTGAAAATGCACCATTCTAAATTGCGAGCATTTGAAACTCCCAAAATTTCGACGTTATGAATTTCGACATGATGAAACCTTCCTCACCAATGTCGACATTATCATTTTTGCCATTATGACATATAATCCGTGACAGGGCCCGATTTCCTGGGTGCCGGTCGATGCTGAGGTCCGGGATGAGGCTTGGTTCGTGACGCCCGAAAAAATTGTGGTAGGTCAGCGGGAGGTGGGTTTTTTTTAGAGTAACCTGTACCTCGTGCCTTCAGTTCCCGGGGTTCTCAGCCGTCGTCGACAGCGGCACAACTATGATGCTTCTCCCAGAAGAGATCCTGGAAGAGGTGAGCTTTTGCAAGGCCATTTACTGCACGCACCCGGTCGCGTGATGTACAACGTGTTCGCCAATCGATTCGATGGGAATCGTTCCGATGATTTAAATCTTTAACTGGCACCCGCGATGAAAAGCCGCCGCGCAACTTTTCAACCCCCGGAACCGTCTGATCCCATGATATTCTTCAAATCGCAAGTAGCTTAATTCACAAAATCTGATAGGCGTGCAGTCGCCTCGGGGCCAAATGAGGTACAATGCATACTCCAAGCTACCGCTCTGATTGAGATACTACTGGAACAATCTGACGGAAGTTGCATGCAACGTGGTACAGACACACACGGACACTATTTTTAATAAAAAACTGAGGCTTAAAATCACCTACCAAAGCGGATTACGGCGATTTCTAACAAACAAAAAACTTAAATTTAATATCGTAGTATACAATCTAGTTGGCTCTACGCAAATTGGATGACGAGTACCCATGCGCCAACGCCACGGATTTCCCGGTGATTTCGCTGTTCATGGGCGCGTACGAGATCAGGATGACCGGGGCTGACTACAGTATTCAGACATCGGTAGGACTTGATTGCCGTCTTATCAGCTTCCGACTTTCTAGTTGTTTGCCCTTGTTGACTTCCTGGTCCTATTTTGCGCCCCTCACTAAAATTCCAAGAAAAACCCAAATAATTTAGAAGCCGGGCTACTGTAGTCTTGGCGTGTCTGGGAGTAGTGGAATCCAGGGGATCAATATCCTTGGCGACGTCTTCATGCGGAAGGTGTACACCGTGTTCGACTACGGCAACCGACGCATCGGGTTCGCCGACTTAAAAACGCCCAAAAAGCCGGCCTGCTCGACCACCACCCCGCATTATTAGAGCGCAATCATATGAAATCGGATGAAGCTTGGAACTGACGCAAACATCAAACGTTTTATTGCACAAATCATAAAGATAAATAAAATGTTAAAATGAATAAAAAACCTGAAAATTGATTAAGGCATACTAAACTTACCCTGGTATCCTTGGGTATTCCGTTGATGTCTTTTACTTGAAGATTGCACCCAAAATTCGAAGACCCGGATCCGATTGCGCGCTTCTTACGGCCGACTTTACATGCCGAGGCACCACCTAACTCGATTTTGTTTTTTTTTGATTGATTTTTAAGGGCAACTTACGATGAAAATTGAAAAAAATTTTAAGCGCCAAAACAGGAAACTACCTCCAGGCGGTGGTGGTGGAGTAAAATCACGCCAAGGCTTCTTCGGCAATGGCCCGATAATCGTTGGGCCTACGCAAAAATTATAAAACATTAAGTAGAAGTTACCTCGAACCCTCTTGGCGACTTTTTTCTTTGTTTCAGTCCTAAAATAATCTTTTTTTCTTGCTAGGAACGAAAGCGAAACTTTTTCTGCACGACCCCGGCGACCAGGGCATTGTTGGCCTCAATCTGAAAGCGAAGATATAATTGGCATGACCATGCTGCTTTAAAAACGATTTATCGCCGATTTTTTAAAATGGAAAAACTACCTGTCGTGGTGTTAATTTCAGATGCGCCAGCCGTTGGTAGTTGACCGGCCGTCTCTGCTGCTCGGCGAGGAGGCGTTCTTGGAATAATTCCCATTGGGCTGGGACCGGAAGTTCGGAAAGTATCCTTCCTGGAAGTTTCATCTATGAGGCAGTGGCTGGGCTTCGGGCTACCCCCTACGCTCCCTCCCCCGCGCCGAAATGCGCGCGGCCTGGCTCGCTGTGCCCAAAATCGTGCAAATAGCCGTTTTCACAACCAAATCACAAAAATCGTTTCTTTTAGGTATGAAAAGGAAGTTTTTAGATTCTGTTTGTGATCGTTTTTGGCGTTTCCGACCGCGCTCTATCCGAATCCGGTGAGACCTGTTGATCTTCGTGTTGAACTCGGCTCACACAGACGCACGGATACCGCAGCCCGTTAGTGATACAGGGTGCCCCAAAGGTGAGGATCAAGGCATCTTTAAGCCAAAACCAACCCGCCGGCCCGCCTCCAATTCCGTCTGATTGAGCACGAACTGAGGCTGGAGCGCGGACTCCTTCTAAAAAAATTACAGCTAGGGATCCACATTGAAATACTCACGCCGCTCCAAGTTTTCCTTCAGAATTAGGACATTTTGCTTGGGGTTGTTGTTAACTAAATGGATCATTTTAGACAACGAAAGCCTGTAAAAGCCAAGAGTCCAAAACCACTTGCACGCAAATTGGCGGGGTCCCGGCTCTCTTCGAGGTGGAGCTAAAATGTTTTCGTTTTACGAAGGCGATTTATTGGCCTTTCCGGAGCCGTAAAAATTTTTTGAAGCGTGTTTACGTTTGTATCCACGGTCCAGTAGCTCCTTGTAGTATTCGCTCGGTTTTTTCTGATGAATATCTGGAATTAGGAGTGGAAAAGCTTTTTTCTAAACAGGCTCAAGAGACAGTTGCTGGAGCTTGTCTTGCGAACACCTTTAGAAGAGCGCCCCCACCCTCGTCATTTGGATGTCTTCCATCGGATCGGGCCCAAATGTTTACCATCAATGGGAACCCATAAAAGCTATGTGCAGCCGAATTTTCTAAGCAAAATATTGTAAAACAAAAAATTATATCGAAATTCAGCATAATTTTCCCGATTTCACTAGGATTTTGACGGATTTGGACCTCGAAAGGTCTAGCAAAATGGAGAGAACATTTTTTTCCACCCCGAAAAAATGTCATGATTTACGAAAATGGCGCCTAACTTGGGACTTTTGATCACCTTTTATTAAAATCGGCAGCAACCGACCCAAAAATGACAATCTTTCGGAAAATTACACAAAATCCGCATGCTACTAGCGAAAACATAGCCAAAAGTGAGTACCAGCGTTCCCAAAGATCAGTTTTTTAGTGATAACCAGGGTTGAAAAGCCGCTTCGCGACTTTTCAACCCTGGCCCCGTCCAACCCAATGAAAGTGTGCACGTTGCATAATTCGGCACGACCCACGCTGAAAAAAGTGAAAAATGCGCTCTCTGCTACTTTATAGAGGCTCTCCCCATTTCCGGTATATGCTAATTGATTCCTAACAAAGAGGGTGTCGGATTTTTCCACAAAAACTAAAATTTTATGTCGAAAATAGACGATTTTCATAAATCTGATTTGTGTGCAGTCATCTCCTGGAGATTATGCACCTAATGACGTATCAAACATGACCCTAACTATTCTCCTTCTTGAGATACGACTGGAACAACCTGACGGAAGTTGCATGCAAAGTGTCATACACACACACACAAACACTATTTTTTTATATATAGTAGGATTTTTGTTTTTTACAATGTTCTTTTATTTTTGTGTTTTTTTTATTTTGCTTAGAAATCTCGGCTGCATATAGTTTTTATGGGCCCTCATCGCTAGTAAAAATTTGGTCCCGCTCCGATAGAAGACGGCCAAATCCTGGGGGGATTGTTTTGGGACACCCTACAGTTTTGGAAAGGAGTGGCGCAGCGCATACCGTCTTTTCTTTACTACGCAACTTACCTCTCAGTCGCGGGAACGATGTAACAGCCTTCCCAGGAGGCGGACGACTAGGACGACCGCCAGAATTACTCGGACCTGGCTACATTTCAAGTTTTTTTTGGATAGTTTTCAAACGTAAATAAAAAATTAAATGACCTGCTGAATGCCAGAAGGCCCGGGTTGATCTGGATCCGGCTCGTATCGGGGCCGGGGACGATTTTGACGCTCTTGCTCGTGCTAAGGGTATTGAAAAACATAGCGTAATGGCGGCTGGAAGCCTTACAATCTCGTGCTCGACGGGCTCTGCAAGGTAAGCGATATCTTCAGGGTAGACGTCACGTGGCGGCCAATAACCCTGAAATCGCAACTTTTGCTCGATCGGCTCCGGATCCCAGATTCCTAATTACCGGGCAGTAAAAGTATACCCTTCGTCTCGGAGGTCGCTCCGGATCCGAATCCGACTCTTCACTGCTCAAGTATGGGCTCAACTGCACCGAGCTCAACGGGCCCGAGCTGCCCGGGCTAAACACGCGACGGCCACCTAGACTGGGTTAGAGAGATTAGCAAGTCACTCCAATTGGTTCTAAAGCCTCGGTAGTATGGTAAACGGAAGCACCCAAAACTCTATTCGATCGTGGCCCTATCGTTTTTTGACCAGTAGGGTCCATCCCTGCACGCAAGAATTTTGACTTCCGAGCTCCTTTAATGTGCCATCCACCTACCAATACTGCCACCAGATTCCGAGTCGCTCCTCCCGGGTTCGGCTAAATAATAAACAACTTTCGCAAGAATTCTCACGGTCGACGTCATCTTCCCGACGAGGCGGAGACGTGCCGCGAGGGCTTGGATGTCGAATTGTGGCCACAACGGCAAACCCATAGAATAGCAAAAGCAAGAAGGTGTTCATACAGTTTTGCATGACTCGTCGAAAAAGTGGGAATGAGAAAACCGGGACAGAAGAAGGCGTGAAAAGTTGATGACGTCAAGCAAGTCTGGAATTAATGCGGCACATGGTTGGTTCAGAATTTTTCCCAATGTAATTAGGCAACGTATGGAAAATGCGGCTCTGGAAAACGACTGGCTTTTTAAAGGCACAGGGAAGTCGAAGTGAGGCATCTTGACAGATGGAATTGGTTCTTTAGGATATCCGGGGGAAGTATTTCCGGGGGGAACCAAATTTTTTCGGCCAAAGCCTAAATTTTTTTCTAAATAGCGCATGCGTTTCTAAATGGTTTTTAACCATTCCTGAGGATAAAAACTACCCACATTTTAATTAAAAAATTTAATTTTAGGTCGAAAAATCCTATAGAACCTTTAGGATTAGCGGGGGGAAAGACCCAAAATGACCAATTTTCGACTTTTTCAAACATTTTTCTAACTTTTTTGAAAGGTTTTTCTACTTTAAATATAGTTAAAATTTACTAAAAACAATGTGAAAACACTTTATATTTGATTACTAGGTCAACCGGGAAAACCAGGAAAAAATTTGGTTTCCCCCCCGGAAATACTTCCCCGGAAATCCTAAAGAACCATGGAATTTTATGCATTTTTAGTGATATCCATAAAAACTAAATTAGCATAATTATAAAAACAAAAGAAATTTGTTTAGATGCTAGCCATTTTACTCGCCAACCCCTTCCCCCGATGGCCTCCCTTTCGGCAGCCGCGAAGCGGTGAGGCTTGAATATGCTAATTTCGCCGAATTTCTTGAAGAAATACTAAAAACCTATTTTTACGCAAATTTAGTAAAATCGACGACGTTTTCCGCTATGGTGCCCTGGCGGCCGTGACCCTCTTCACGTTGCTGGTGCTCTGGAAGTTGGGTGAGGCAATTTGAAGGATTCTCAAAAATTCTTGTATGCAAATTAGGCATTTCCGCCGGTTATCCGGTTCAGAAACAATTTATTTTTCCGTTATATTTGGTGGTAGGCGTCGTGATGGTTAAGCCTCAAAATTCCCCTCCATTTCAGGCTCCATTCGTCCCGAGCTTCCGGTTCAGCAGAGCTCGACGACGCTCGGAACTACGCCTGCAACGGAAGAAACGACGAATACGACGGCGGCTATCCTGGAGACGACGACTGCAAGCAGTTCAACGGCGCCACCGACGGCATCTACTACTAACAGTTCGAGCACCGAATCGACCACCACGACCGCAAAGTCAACTACAACGACTACGACAACACCAACTACAACTACCACCACGACAACACCAACTACAACTACCACCACGACAACTACAACGACGTCAACTACTACCACCACCACCACGCTGAAGCCGCTGGTCCCAGAAGTTTGCACGACGAGGGGCTGTACTCGAACAGCCGCGCTTTTGGTAGGTGGTCAGACGAAAAACCAGATCTGCTCAACTTCAAGATGTTCAGCTAGTGAAAGTCTCATTAATAGGCCACATATCCACATATTTCTATCGTTAACAACAGATCAACTCCATCTCCAAGACGACGGACCCGTGCGACGACTTCTACGAGCACGCTTGTGGGCGGTGGATCAGAGTATCGAATATTTGTTATATTGAAAGTTCTGCTTTTTTTCAGGAGCACCCAATCCCGCCCGATTTGGACCACTACGATCGGTACATCGAGCTGGATGACGCGCTGAAGCATCAATACATGAGTCAGCGATTTTGCGTTTCTCAGAACTCAACGAAATCCCAGACATCTTCAAGGAGGAGAGCTTCTACACCAACCTGACCGAGCTGGACCGGGCGGCGTTCAACGTCTACAAAATGTGCATGGAAACAGAGGCGAATCAGTGGTGGGTTGTGCTGGGCTAAAAAATTTAGCTAAATTAATAAGGAGTAAATTAATCCAGTTAAACTACGGCCTTGAGAGCATCGTGCCACATTTGATCCATAGTAATGCCTTGCTAGTCTCTTTAAATCAACTCTTCAGAGAATTCGGTACTGGATTGTTAGCGGGGGGGTTTCGGCGAAAAATATGTTTTTTTTTTGCTTTTTCACGTATACTTAATGGTTAATAATAAATAAAATGTTTTTATAACGTTATCGAAGTTTTTAATTGCTAGAAAGTTTCAAAAGTGTTTTATAGATTCAGAAAATTCAAAATTTTGACCTTTTGGACATTTTTCCTACTTCTATTTTGCTTTTTTAATGAGTTTTTGTAGATATAAAAGCTCCGTAAAATACTATTCAGATCGTTTATTTTTATATGCCCCGTGCAGGATTACTGGGAAAAATTAGGATTGCCCCCCCCCGCTAAAAATCCGGTACCGAAACTACGTCGAATTCCAGGCCCCTCGATCAATGGCTCCGAAATAGTGGCGGATACCCGTTTCTAATCGATAAGCGCTACGGCGTACGCGATTCCCTGCAGAAGTTGATGGTTCGCTACGGGCTACAAGGCCCCATCCCGTTCTTCAACATCACCTACACGATTGAAGGGATGCCGAAGGAGGTCACGCCCGGACCGGCCACCGATCGCGTCATGGAGGCGGTAATCCGAAATGCGCTGAATTTTTTAAAAAAGAAATTTTAAGATCTCGGACTCTACGCGTTTCGTCGCTTTTTCCGGTTCTTTCGCATTAACGGGGAGGGGGATTTTCCCAAGATATAATTTTTGAAAGAAGAAAAGCAGCAGAATTCAATTTCACAAATTTTCATACATTTATCCAGTTTTTGAATAGGTTTTCTGGTTAAAATATAGCTACTAGAAGCACTAATAAAATAGTTCCGACTAAGCTCGTAGATATTTTTGAATTCATGCAAAAAAGTTAGCCCCTCCCCGATGATGCGAAAGAACGGCGGGTCTCTATATTTTCACAAGAAAACGGTGCTTGTCCAGTTTCGGGGGCTAGCATCCTAATAGGAAACCTTTTAGGAGTGTTTTTAGTCGATATAAATATATTTCCGGTAGAAAAACGATTTGATTTGCTCGAAAAATCTAATTTTTGATATCAAAATCGAATTTTTCTACACGCTTTTGTGTTCAGGAACGGTGAAAAAAACAGGTGTATAAACATTCCCTCTTTAGAACTGTAAATTAGAAAAATTTGGATACCAAAAAAGACGAGACAATCCGATTTCCAGATCGTCATCACACCCAACTTGGTCTGGCAGGACAACGAGGAGTCGGCCAAGCGCATCCCCCAAAAATGGATGAATGTGGGGGGCTGGAACACGGCAATCTTTACAACCCAAGCCTCCAATAGGAAATTCCCCGCCTATACATCGCGAAAAATCGAGCGTTGGATGTCGGCACAATGTGGAACAATTGGCTGCATATCCAGGAGGAGATTCAAAAGGTAGCTGAAGTTTTGGGATATTTCATCGATTGGTCTGGTTCAACAGCGGGAAGAAAGCGTGAGGGAGGGAAAAAGCGTGGCTATCCCCTTCCCTCTATACCCTCCCCGCGTTAACGAATCAGAGCCGATCGGCTTGGAAATGCTAATTCCGATTTTACTTACTTTTTCAGTGTTTCGCCAACCCAACGACCGTCACGATTCAAGCGGAAGGACTCAAAAGATGGGAGCGCCACGTAATTTGGTGTCGCATCGAAAACCGCAAATTTTCAGTTTGATTTTGCTGCTTATTTCGCGGCGATCGGTGTGCAAATCGGGCCAAACACGACGATTTCGGTGGCGCAGGAGGCGTTTGATAAGGTTCCGCATGTTTCAGGTTTCGCTTTTAGGTTTTTCGAGGTTGAGATTTCAATAAAATCAGCTTTGTTGACTTAAATAATTGGAATTTACCCATTCAAATCGGATAATTTTGGGAAATAAAACGTGTTTATGGAATTTTAAACGATTAGCAGTTATTAGCAGAAAAGGTTAATAATTTTTACCTTTTGTTTGAAAATTAAGTCTAAGAATTAATTCAGGCATTTCAACCCGATAGCTCAATTATGCATTAAGTTTGCCGAACTGCTCGACGACGGTGCAAAATCTGAATTTGCCGGCGAGGCGCTGGTATACATGATTTTCCTGGAGAACCAGCACGGAATGGTAGTGCGGCTGCTATGAGCCCCTTTTCCAGCGAAATCATATCATTAATGCATCAACAGAGGCGAAGGTATGTGACGGAAGACACGATCAGAGAATGCCACCAGTTCGTCACCGAGGAGGCGATGCCGCTGTGGACCGTCAGCTTCTACCGACGTCACATCCTCCAGAACCCGGATTTCGACAACGAGAAGGTACTTTACATGCGTTTTGTAAAGGGACTTGGGCTACGGTTTACAATATTTACGTGATTTTTTGATGATTTTCTCTTCGATAAAGCATCAAAAAACATAGTAAGGGCTTTTATGGCAGCTCAAAAGATTGCAATATACAATAGTTATAGCAAAAACAAATATAACCTTCAAAACCTTCCGGCTCCCAGCCAGGATAGGGGTAAATTAAACTCATACCTATCCATTCCCTTTCAGGCTATCGTCGAAAACATGCGCGCCGCCTTCAAGGAGACGCTCAACGAAGACGACTGGCTCGAGCCGGCCACCAAGGAGAAAATTTTGAGCATGGTAGAGCAGAAAAAACCGGAAATTCAATTTTCTTCAGCTCGAAAAACTCGACTTTTACCTCGGCGCCTTCTACGAGGCCTACAGCGAGGAGAAGCTGATGGCGCACTACAACAAGGTCACCTGAAATCTAAAAAAGTGAGAACATAAGGATTTTTTAGCGCCTCCCGATGGACGCGACCAACTTCTTCGACTGGAAGAGCAGGTTCTACCAGGATGTGGCCGGCAAGGAGTTGTTGGTAGGAGGCTTGTGTCACCCTCCCCTTAAAGCCGATTTGTTTAGTCCGACTCCCGCTACAAACTACAGCTAGACGTCGACGCGTACAGCCGGAAGCTGTATGCATGTAAGCATTTGTTGGGAAATCGTGAAAATACTCAAATTCGAGGGATCCCCCTCGGCTACCTCGGCTTCCACAGCGACGACTACCCGCTCGAGTACCAGTACGCGCAGCTTGGCTTTACGATTGGGCACGAGATGACGCACACCTTTGATACGAGTCGGTTTTGAGGGTTTTGGGATAGCGGGGGGGGGGGCATTGGTCGGCGATTCTAATTTTGAATTTTTTGCATATATTCAAAATATGTAATGGCTTTTTATCGTGTTTTCAGCATTTTTTGAGTGGCAAACGTTCCAAAAATGCTTAAAAATTTTAGGATTGTCAATTGACAGATCCATTATCCTAAAAACAGAGATAAATGATGTAGATATCGAATGGAAAGGCAACGGGACCGTGTTCACCGGCAACGACCGCGCCGAGTTCGACGAGAAAACGCACTGCATCGTCGAGCAGTTCAAGAATATCACGCATGCCGGCGAGTCAGGGGAGACAGTTACGGTAGCCGTGTCACTATGCGTATAAAAAATCTTTTCATAGGAAGCAGGCGAGACCTCGATCCCGGAGACGATGTCGGACAACATGGCCGTCAGGACGTCGTTTAGGGTAGAATCTTACCTTCCCTTTTTTTTTAATCTGGTTTAGGCTTTCCGAAAAGAGCTAAACCGTCGCTACGGCCGAGAGGGCGACGCCTTCCGCCTCCCCGGTCTCGAGCAGTACACCACCGACCAGCTGTTCTTCCTGTCGTTGGCAAATGTGGGCAAAATTTGAGTATTCTGCAGCTGACCGACCGTAACGTGATGATCTTCATTTTTCCAGACCTTTTGCGGCTCCTACACCCCGGCCGGACTAGCTGAAGCCGCTCAGCAAATCCACCCGCCGCACAAAAGCCGTATCAGCACGGTAGCTTAGCTGTTTCAAGGAGAGAGAGAGGAGAGAAAGAGAGAGAGAAAGAAAGAGAGAAAGAGAGAGAAATTCCAAAAGCTGAAATTTCAGGCGATGAAGAATTCGGCTGAGTTCGCCAAAGCCTTCAAGTGCAAGGTGAGTTCCCGGAATTTTTTAGCCAAAGATTTTTTGAGAAAAACGCACCGATGAACCCGGAGAAGAAGTGCCGTGTGTGGCGCTACAAGAAACACTAGATTTCGGTGCATCTCATCGTCGTCGGCAAGAGCGATCTCGTTTTGCCGAGGACCACTCCAGATGCAATTCCATGCCTCCATACAAAACATATCCATTCCATTCTTTGTCTGCATGATACCTGTTTTCGGCGATAAATATATGTGCCTCGCGATTTTGGAGGTGAAAGAGAGAGAAAGAAAGAGAGAGCGAGAGAGAGATAGATTGAGAGAGCCAAAAAGTGGGAATTTTCGGGTCCGGGGAAGCGAAACACCTGTGCCCCCTGAACGCCTTGAAGTCGGCGTTGCAGTTTCATAACATCTTTCAATTTTTCTTGCTCAAATAATCATATGCAAACCACCAAGCAACGCCCAAAAACGCGCTTTATCAGAACGGGGCCATGGCAAGAGCACAAAGAGAAAAATGGCTGCAGTATGGGGGGGTATACGAGATGGGTTGGGGGTGCAGTCTGCTCATTCTGATGACGTGCCACCATCATCAGAGGCGGGTGGTCGCGACGAATCGTAGCATGTTGGGGCGAATAGGTATCGTCTGGTAGGCTGGGCGGTCATCTACTGCTTCTTGTAGCGCCACACGCGGCACTTCTTCGCCGGGTTCATCGGCGAGTCTATCTGAAAAAGTCAGATGGGTTAGAAAGAAGCCTCGTTTTGCCACCTTGCACTTGAACGCGTTGGCGAATTCCTCCGAGTTTTTAATGGCCTGAAAAGCGGGTATTTGTTTGTTTTTAAACAAGTTCTAGAGCATACGACAGCCAACGATCTTATCTAAACAAATTTTAGAGTATCTCTGGGAGTTTTCATGCATAAAAACATCATTATGAAAAAATTTGGCTTGAAAACGGTTAACTGTCTGGATAGACTGCGTACTGGACTCTTAGCGGAGGGGGGGGACTGGGGAGTTTTTAGAGAAAGGTTGATATAAACGCAGAGCAAAAGATAAAAATTTATTTGACTTTTGGTCGACTAGTCCTGCTAAATGTCCAAAAAAGCTCAAAATTTTTGAATTCTTAATTTTTTCAGTGCGTTTTATGACTTTCTAACCCTCAAGGCCTATTAAAAACACCGTAAGAATACAATATATCTAAATTATTAACAGCTGGCATCGGCGGAAAATTCAAAATTATCGTACCCCGGTGACGCGAACCATATTCGGTGGGTGGGGCTGGTCCTGGCGGAGTTCGAGCCCCTTCTGCGTGTACGAGCCGCACCAAGGCTGGAATGTGAGGGCATTAAGGGACGCCGGACTTCCACCCACATTTGCCATGGCGAGATAGAAGATCTGGTCGGGGGTGTACTCGGCGAGTCCGGGCAGCGCGTACTTGTCGTGGTCGTTGGAGCGGCGGGCTAGCTCCTTGCGGAACGCCTGCAAATCGGGTTAGCTGAGACAGTGCTTCAAATCTTACCCGGTAGGAAGCACGGAGCGCGAGATTGTCCGACATGACCTCGTTGATCACGCCGCTGCCGTTGAGCTGGAAAGGCGTAAGATGGAGAGAGAGAGAGAGAGAGAGAGAGAGAGAGCGAGAGCTAGAGAAATGAAAAGAGAGAAGGAGCAAGAGAATCAGCAAAAGATGTTTGGAGAGACCATCCTAACCTTGACGCTCGCACCATCAGCCTCGGCCACCGTATTCCCGAACTGATCGACGAGGCATTGAGCCTTCGCGTGGAATTCCTCCTTGTCGTTGCCGGTGAGCAGCTTCTCGTCGATGTCTAAACACAGACAAATTGATGCTACAGTAGCCAACACCAACACTTGGTATCAAAGGTGTGCGTGAACTCGTGGGCAAGGAAAAAGCCGAGGGTGGCGTACCGGAAGACGAACGGGTAGCTCTCCTCCTGGAAGCCAAGGAGCCCCAGATCGAGACCTGAACGGCTTGAAAATGTCCTCAAGGTCGGCACTTACCCAAACGCTTGCCCTGGTCGTTGAAGGCATTGACGCCAAGCTGGTAGGGCTTGGCCGAGTCGGCCTGGAAAGTTGGAGTGGAGTTGGTGCTTATTGGATCTTACCCGCAACTCCCTGCCCTTGGTTTCTTGGTAGTAGATGGCTTGCCACTCGAAGAACGTATAGTGCTCCCAGGGCATCGGGGGGAAGCGCTGGAAAATGAGTTGCTTTCCCTTGCTCTCTCTCTCTCCCTCTCTTTCTCTCTCCCCCTCTCTCTCTCTCTCTCCAACTACCCTACCTTCTTATAATGCGAGTAGACCTGCTCCTCGGTGTAGAGTTCGTAGGGGGCCCCGAGGTATACTTTCAGGGTGTCCACCTGAACGAGTTGAAGTTGAGTCAGCCCACTGGAGCGGAAACCTTTTTCAAAAGTCCCTCCTTGCTGGCCGGCTCGATCCACTTGTTCTCCTGGATGACCTCCTTGAGGCTGACGCGGATGTTCTCGATGAGTTCCTAGGATAAACTCTAAGGAGAGGAGAGGCTAGAGAAATACTCTCTCGTCGGCGAAGTCGCGGTCGTTGAGGATGTGGCGGCGGAAGAAGTCGGGGGTCCACAGCGGCATGGCCTGTTTCGTGATAAAATTGCGGCAATGCTCGTCGACGTCTTCGAACCGTGAGATCTGAAACGTTGTTTTTAGCAGGAGAAAGAGAGAGAGAGAGAGAGAGAGAGAGAGAAACAGAGAGAGGGCGACAGGGCGAGAGAAAGAGAGGGTGAGAGAGAGAGCGGCTCACTTCCCTTACCCCATCAAAGATCCTCGGCTGCAGCTTGTGGAACGTGTAGAGCACCTGCACCTCGCGCGCAATCTGGCTCTTCTCCGGGTCGTCCATCATCACGAAGAACTACAAAGCCATGATTTTGATGGCCTGCTAACGGACGATCTAGGGCCCCTTCTCTACCTTGTCCAAAGCCTTGAAATTCGCCTCCAGCGTCGTGGTATCGTCCACCCTCATGCCGAGAGATTTGAAGTACTCGAGGAAGTCGATCTTAACCTCTTCAGCTTAGATTATTTATTTTTTGTTTACATGGTGGGCCCATTTCTTCAGAGGTTCCATGCTACTGAAGTTTTGTTGCGTGGGGTCGGCGAAAATCTAGAATCACGCGTCAACCTTTGAAGTCGTTTCGGCAAGTAACCTGGCTCAGCTCGGCCTTGAACCGCTCGAACTTGAGGGCCATGTCGGACGGGTCGACGGTTTGGCCAATCTCCTTGGCAAGGATTGGGATGTCCTAAAAATGGAAAATTAACACGCTGCTGATCATGAGTGACCTCCTTGAAGATCTTCGGCAGTTGCTCGATGACCTTGTCGGTTCCAAAGGCGGATGGGGCGATATTGATCTAAACGAGAATTTGGAGACGTTCAACCAGCGCCGGAGTAAAAAAACGAAAGAAAAAGGGTTCTTTCGCAATATTTGGGGGACCCAACTTTTCTGCGAGTCCAGAAAGCGCCTCTGCCCCGGATAACGCAAAACCTCCACCAAAAGGAACCATGCAAACCCTCACCGCGTCGATGTGGTGATCGTTGATGGGGCGGGTGTACCACTCGTCGTCCACCTTGTACTTGATGGTGAAGTAGGTCCACGGGCCGGCGAGCCCGAGCATCTCCATCAACTTCTGCAAGGTCGGGCGCTGGCTGTCTGTGCTGAACGGGAGGCCGCCGAGCGCTTGGAACCACGCATGGATGACCCTAGGAGGATCCAAGTGTTTTAAAGGGGCTTGTAAGACCATGTCATAATTTTTGGAACTTTTGCTTTATCGTGGGTACTTTATTCTTTAGGGCCTTGGCCCCACTTGGTGTCATCCCGCTCGGCGTAGATGCACAGCTTGTGGAGGTCGAGCGCCATTCGATCGCTTCGGGTTAGAGAAGACCAATTGCGGCCACTTTTGAAGAATTCTGAAAGTTAGCGAAATAAGGCCAAGCTTTGGAGTTCCGCACCTTTCAACTCGTGCTGCTGCTGATCCCCCAACTTGGCGAACCGGTCCCACGCAGACTTGCCGAATGGGATTGGGTTTTCCTAAAAATCGTTTTGGCTCGATGCATTAATGGGAGGGTTGCCTTGATCCAGCGGTCGCACGAGTGCCCGTAGAAGTCGTCGCACGGCGCGTGCAGGTCGTTAATGGCGTTGATCTAAAAGCTAATCGGTTCTGGTGTATTAGCGGGGGGAGTGTATCAGGAGTGTTTCTAAACGTTTTCCTTGTTTTCAGAATTACAGAATCCTCCTATTATCCTTCTATGGTCCCACGCAAGCTCTATTGGCACATCTTCAAGCAGTTCACCGTACCAGCTGCCCGGCCGCCTTGGTACACCCCTCCGACACGCAGTAGCCGAGCGGCTTCGGCGGTTCCGGGGCGCCAGATGGCGACGGTGGTGGCTTGGGCGGGTTGGTGGTGCTGGGTGGAGGAGGAGGAGGAGGAGGCGTAGAGGTCGTTGTTGGCTTGGTGGTCGACTCGGTGGTGGTCGTCTCCTTAGTCGTGGTTTCGGACGTCGTCTCCGTCGTGGTGGACTGGGTGGTCGACTCGGTGGTCGACTCGGTGGTCGACTCGGTGGTAGATGACGTCGTTGGCTTCGAAGGGAAGGGTGGGAGCAGGGTGGGCGGGAACTCGTCGGGGAGCTCGGGTAGCTTGGCGCCTGAATTGAAAGAATAAGTCTTTCCGGTCCAAAACCTTTGCTGGACCAGACTTAAATGCGATTAAAGCTTAAAAACGTCCCGTTACATACCTTTGTCGAGCACCAAAAACCCCAGCCAGGTGATCAGGAAAAGGGCGATGAAGCCGAGCAGCTCGCCGGATTGGGGTCGCATTCTGAAATTGCAAAGGAAAAATGAGCAATTTTTCAGGCTTACCGAGTGTTAGGGCGCCGGGTGAAAAGAATGCTTGACTTTTGATGCCCTTCGGAAAATCCTTTTTCGTAGTTTTTGGGAATTATGCAAATTTCCAACACAAATCCGATTTTGAGTCGTGTAATACGTTAGAATTCTAAATTTGCATCTACCATAACCATTTTTTGCAAAGATTTTTCACTCCACTTGAATTTCTCTTTTCTTGAAGTTCCCTTTCTCTTCCTACCTTTTTCGATGGTCTCCGAAAAGTCGGTTTAGATTCCTGTGCACATGCAAATTTTTTTTCAGGGCCGTTTCCCGGTGCCAAACGTGGGCCTGGGTGGTGGCGGGGTTGACTTGCGCGACGGTGTGCGTACTGTTCATAGGTAGGAAGCGTTTTATTCAGCTGAATTTCGCTTTAGTCATCACGCTTATGTTGCTGGCTACAGATCCGGTACGCAAGGATCCGCTAGACAACTCGGACACCACGGAGGTGGGTCTTGTATAAACCGACGAGCCGCGGCACGCATCACGTTGCTTGTCGCGTTGCGTGTCGCGTTGCGTGTCGCGTCCCGTGCCGCTTTCCGTGTCGCGTCGAGTGCCATTTAGGGTCTAACTAGGGAAGTCCAAGATACCCGCAACACGAATCGGGCTGAAAATTTGCACAGTTATGGAACCGACCATGCTGATCATCGCCTCATTTTCCGAATTTGCTACAGAGCTTAAATAATTAAGATATTAAACTTTTAAAACGCGCCAAAAACCCGCTACCCTGACCCTGGCTCATTAGAGCGGGTGGGGTTCAAGAGGCCTTTGGGAAGCCCCCATTCCAGAGCTTCGGTAGTCAACTGGTAAGCGCCTGGCTTCCCAGGTGGAGGGTCCGGGTTCGGACCCGGTCCGCGAATTTTTCTTTTGCTTTTTGCTGATTTTGCGCCGCACATGTGACGCGTGCCCAGATTGTGTTATGCACACGCATTTACGTACATCCTAGAAATGAAATTCAACGAAATCATAAATTTATGAAAAAGTTCATAGAAAACACTAGTAAAAAATTGTTAAAACCGGTATTCCGTAATTCCACGGCAGCAACCGGCTCATCTGCGTGTAGCAAAAAACACAATCTGGACACGCGCCACATGTGCGGCGCAAAATCAGCAAAAAGCAAAAGAAAAATGCGCGGACCGGGTCCGAACCCGGACCCTCCACCTGGGAAGCGAGGCGCTTATCAGTTGACTACCGAAGCTCTGGAAAGGGGGCTTCCCAAAGGCCTCATGAACCCCACCCGCTCCAGTGAGCCAGGGTCAGGGTGGCGCGTTTTTTTATTTTTCTATTTTTTATTTTATTTAAGCTCGGTAGCAAATTCGGAAAACGAGGTGATGATCAGCATGGTCGGTTCGATAACTGTGCAAATTTTCTGCCCGATTCGTGTTGCGGGTAACTTGGACTTCCCTAGTAAGTTCGAAATTTCAGGACATCGCCATGGACCCGTACCCGCCGCTGCCGCCTCGCCCAGCCACCATGTGCCTGACCGCTGGGTGCACCAAGAGTGCCGGACTTTTGGTTGGCAAAACCTCTCAATTTTACAATCGTTTTCAGCTCTCTGCCATGGATTATACGGCGAATCCGTGCGCCGACTTCTACCAGTACGCCTGCGGAGGGTGGATCAAGGTCGGCGAGGATACTATGGTGACTAAACTTCAGCACTTTTAGGGCCACCCGTTGCGGTTCAAGGCACTGCAGCTCACTCGGCTGCAAGCTGCCATACAGGAGCAAGAGAATCAGTTGAGAGGTAGAGAGAGAGAGAGAGAGAGAGAGAGAGAGAGAGAGAGAGAGAAAGAGAGAGAGAGAGGGGGGGGCGTGAGAGTGCTTTAAAGGATCGTGGTCAATATGATGATGTAGCTTATGAAAGAGTAGGGATAAAGCGAGAGAGGGAGAGAGAGAGCAAGAGAGAGGGAGAGTGAGAGGGAGAGCGATAGAGAGCGAGAAAGACAAAGAGAGAGAGAGAGAGAGAGAGAGAGAGAGAGAGAGGGAGAGGAGTCCGCTTTTTCCAGTGTTCTTCCACCACGGCTCGGTATGGAAAGGGATAACAGCTTCGGACCGACTAGCGCTCGACCTCTACAAGCTCTGCATGCACCAATACAAGGACGGCACAGGGTACGTCTTCCCGCTTACCATTTCGCAATTTTCCTTCAAAGCTGGACTTTGTAATTTTCCAGGCCCGTCCTGGAGTGGTTGAAGAAGTGGGGCAGCGGACAGCCCCCGTTTAGCGGCCCAGAAGCGAAGTGGAAGGACTGGAAAGCCCTGCTGTTCAACCGCGGACTACAGGGTCCTGCACTGCTCTTCGACATGAGCTACCACATCTCCGGGCTGCCGCGCTCGCTTCAATATCCCGCCAACGATCGGGAAATTCTAGGGGTGAGCTAGCTTGGGTAGTTAGTTTTGAAAGTTGAGGTCAGAAAGACAGAAAGGAAAAGAAAGAGAATGACCGTGAGAGAAACGGGCTAAACTAGACGGAAAAAGCGAGTGAAAACCTGAGCCGGAAAAACCCAAGAGAGACGGCGGGAGAGAGAGTCAGAGAGAGCGAAAGAGTGAGCGAGAGTCAGAGAGAGATAGAGAGCGAGAATCATAACCCAACACTTCGATTATCGACATTTTTAGTTTAACATCACGCTAACCAACCGCTGGTCCGACATCCCAAAGCTCGAGGAGCTGTTTGATCAGGTGATTTCCCATTACACTTTATTATTTTTTAGAACATGCCCCACCTGGTCCCGGGCCTCAAGCCCGCAAAAGAAGAGCCGAAATGGAAGCCCTTCCTGCAATTCCTCACCGAGTTCAACAAGGTCAGCACGGAAAACCTCTACAAAATGCTGCTTCAGATCAGCAGCGGTAGCGTTGGCAAGTCAATGAACGTCGATGCGTTTAAGGCCGGTAGTGTCAAAGCGGTATCCTGCTGATAGCAGAACACTGAACCATTTCGTTTAGCAGCTCGATTTCGTCGGCTACCACGAGCTGTTGAAGCTGAACGTGGCCAGCGGTGCCAAAATTTGGTTCCCAGAGGGAGACATAGAAAAGGTATCGAAATCATCCGTCTAGTTGTAGATTGATTTTTAGGGTTTCATAATTGAATGGTTTTTTTAGTTCAACCAGCTCGTCGCAAAAACACCAGCCATCGCGGAATACCTGGTCTTTCTTGCGCTGGTGATGGACTTGGAAGGAAGCATGTTTCAGGTCATCACTCTCTTCTCTCCCTCTCTCGCGCTATCTCTATCAGTCGCTCTCTCTCTCTCTCTCTCTCTCTCTCTCTCTTTCTCCCTCTCTTTCTCTCTCTCTTTCTCTCATCTCAGCTTTTTCAGGAACCTCCCTACAAACAGGCGAATGGACAATGTCACGATTTTGTCGTGAATCACCTCAGCCTGTGGACAACCAGCTTCTTTCAGCGACATGTGCTTCAGAAAGACGGCTTCGCAGCGGAAATTGTGAATTTTCAAAGCGTTTTATGCACTGAGTATCAGATAATGAATTTTTTTTGCAGCAAATCTTCGAGCATGTCCGTAAAGCCTTCAAAGAGCTTGTTGATGAGCAGGAGAAATATTCCGGAACGTTCACGAAAGAAATTCTCCTAAAGAAGGTATGGCTGAGTAGGGATTCGATCGCTTGTTGCAGCTCGACAAGATCAAGATCTTCTTCGGCGCGTACGACCCGTGGGCTGAGGACCGGCTGATGACACATTATAAGAAGGTTTCTTTATTGTGGAGGCAAACATGTTGTTGCTCAGCGCCTCCCCAACGACGCGAAGACGTTCTTCGAATGGAAAACACGGTTTTACGAGGATATCAAGGATAAGGATCTGCCGGTAAGCGACAGGGAGATGCGTGAAAGGGCTGCTAAAAGTTACTTGCTGTCGAAAAAGAACTTTTTTTCAGGCCGATCGCCTCATCCCTCTCGAGTCGCAGGATACAACACATAACAACGAATTTGGGTTGGGTAAGTTGCAATATGTAATTAGTTAGTATCTGTTACCCTATCTCGTTCTCTCTCTCTCTCTCTCTCTCTCTCTCTCTCTCTCTTGCCCTTTCACGCTCTGCGATTCATTTTCTCGCTCTTGCGGTAGCCCTCTCTCTCTTTACTCTCTCTCTACTCCCGTTGTCGGATTAAAATTTTCAAACTCAACTGCAACTCCGCATGCAAGGTTTAACTCTTAAAAAAGCTCAACCTTCCAGTGCTCACTCTCCCCAAGATGGCCCTCCACGACCCGAGCCTCCCACTCGAGCACCTCGCCGGCTCGTTGGGTTGGAAATTGGCCGATGGATTCTACGAGACATTCAAAAGTGGTAGGTCCCCGACACCACGTTAAACAACAAACTGATGAAAGTGACGTCGTTTTCACGGGTTTTTCCAGTCATCGGCGACTTCACTCTACCCGGCGAGCTGGACCCGGTGGCTCGTATTGTTTATCGTGTAGGCTTTCGAAGATTTTGCGAAAACTTTGCGGAAAACATGATAACAACTTTGATTTTTCAGGCCTATGTGAACGCGCGGAACGTGTCGCAGAGCCCCACGCTGCCCCTGCCAGGGCTATATGGGCACAACCTGGATCAGCTTCTATTTCTCAACGCCGTTCAGGTGGGTTTTCAGGAATGATTTTTCATCTTTCATTTTCTCTCGCTCGTGCTCCCACTCTCTCTCTCTCTCTCTCTCTCTCTCTCTCGTCTCATTCTCTCAGAAAACCTCGAAATTTTCAGCCATATTGCGCTAGCTACAGTGATGAGGGCAGGAAGAAAGCAGCCGAAAGAAATACCCAGCTTTACGACGACTATTTCAACAAGGTACAATAGCTAGGTCTTCTTCTAGCCTTTTCATTTCAGGCCTTGAAATTCTTTGAGCCCTTCCAGACGGCCTACAAGTGCCAGGTAAAAACCACAAGCCTTCCAAAGCATTTGCATTTTTCAGTGATACTCGCCGGACTCGCCGAAGGACCAGTTGTGACTCGATCCCCGCTCGCCAATGACGTACTAATCGATCCTTTCTTTTCATCAGATTCCTTTCTCGACAATTGTTTTGTATCGATCTTTATTCGTGTTTTTGTTTGTATAAATGGAACTGATTCTTGGAGCGATAAATCGATTGTATACTTCTTTGATTCCTTTTTTTCTGATTTTGCATTTGAAGATGTTTTTCAGAAATTCAATAAACACAAAATCGGTTTGGAAAATTCCCGAACTAACATTTTTGACTGATATTTAAGGGAGGATTTTACACCGTAGCAGAAAAATTAAGGGGATGTAACCCGAGGGATAAAGAGAGAGACATCGAGAGAGCGAGGGAGAGCGCGAGAGTGAGATAGATAGAGTCAGACAGAGAAAGGGAGAGCGAGAAAGCGAGAGAGCACGAGATAAATAGCGAGAATGAGAGAGAAAGAAAGCGAAGGAGTGGCTAGAATTTATTAACATACGATGATTTACATAATTCCTCGGCAAGAGCCTTTTTGTTATCATTCCTCCAACTACTACCAGCATATGGCGCCCGCCGCCAGTTCCACGACTCGGTAATTTTTGTAGGGCTACGGTTTACTTTACCCCCCCCCCCCCCCAGCCGGAAGGTTTTGGCTATAACTTTTTTATTTTACATTATTGTAGGCTCAAATTAAAACTCTTAGTATATTTTTCGACGCTCTATCGAATGGCGTTGCAAAAATCCCGACAAAATAAGCGGAAATACCGACAACTTTGAGACCCTTCGGCTGTGGGGGGGGGGGGGTAAAGTAAACTCTTACCTTTTGTAGATTTTCGGCCTTTCTAGGCATCAGAATACTAACGGAATCTAAGGCGGAAATGCCTTGAATTCAGGGTCGTCGACCACGTGTTCCGCTTCGGCGCGCTCGCCTACGTGACGATCTTCACTGTGCTCGTCTTTTGGAAGTTGGGTAAGCTTCGCTAGGGCCCGCCCGTGTGTCTATTAGTGCATCGATCACCAGCTTTTCAACATTTTCAGCTTCTACTTCCGTTACCTTGCCGCACAAAAGCGTCCCTACTACCGTAGCTACAGAGCCGGAATCGACGTCAGTGACTGGTAATTTCTGAGTCATTGAAGCAACCAATTTTTGTTAAGATACTGTTCCGGCCTTCCCTACGAACTCTACGGTCCCTGCGCCTTCTACAACGTCGCCAAGCAGTTCGGCCGCGCCACCCTCGCCTTCGTCGATCGGTAGCTGACTAATTGCCACGATAAACGAACTGCGATTTTTCAGCTACAATGAATACGACAGCGCCACCTACCACAACTTCAACCAGTACGACGACGACCTCGGCTACTAAGGTCGGGTTTGTTAGCTTGGCTTAGAACTTGGGCTTAGGCTTTATACTTAGGTTTAGGCTTAGGTTTAGGCTTGGGTTTAGGTGTAGTCGTAGGCTTAGGCTCGCGCTTGGGCTTAGGCTCGCAAACAGGTTTAGGCTCAAACCAAACTTGAAAACTTCGATTTAGACAACCGCCTCCAGCATCCCCGCCCCAAACTCTACGGCCATTCCGCCGAGCGGAACGACTACAACTACGAAAAAGACGACCACCATGGAGACGACCACCAAGGAGACGACCACTAAGAAGACGACCACTAAGAAGACGACCACTAAGAAGGCGACCACCAAGCAGACCACCACAACCGCCCCCACCAAAAAGCCGGCCCAATTAAACGATACTCGGCTCGAAGACGATCGCTTCCGCCTCAAAGAGGTGATGAACAACCGATGGATCCCCTCCATCTAAAAGATTAGCCCCGATTTTTTGTGAATCTCCTTGTCTCCGCTAATTGCATGGTCGCGTCCCTGTTTCTTGTATGTGTTCGTGTGGTGAATAAAGTTTTGATTGAGCGAACCATGGTCTTGTTTACACTCTAAGATCGCAAAAGCTCAAATTCACGTTTTCGTCAGGATGCGTTGGGTTGTTAGTAAACATCTTGTTCTTAAATTCCATTCAACGGAGATTTACAGGCACCAAAAAGGTGCCGTTTTTGGGCAATTTTACGAAAGTTGAAACTCCATAACTTTTGTCTCGGTTTTGTTTAAGTTTTTGTGTGGAAAGCGGGACTTTTGCTATACTTTATTGCAAGACAAAAAGGCGGGAGGGTGAGAGATAGAGAGAGAGATTTAGATAGATAGTGAGAGAGAAAGAGAGCGAGAGAAAGGGAGGGAGAGAGAGCAAGCGATGTCACGGCCCGTTTAACCGGGGGAGTATTCGGCGGGGTTAAACCTAAGATTGACGGTATTTCGAAGCTCGATTCGACTTACGATAAGCAGTTTTTCCCCTCGATCGATTCCCCCCGAGCCTTCGCTCCGTGGCAGTCAACAAGGTCCGAGGAAACAGCGAGTATCACTAAAACCGCCATCAGACAGTGCGTCCCAAAAAAACGGTCCCCTTGGTCTTTCGTCGTACCACAGCCGATCTGTCCCCAAATTCGGGCAGAGGTGTACCAGACCGTAAATAACAACAGCCCGGACTTATGGGCCGATTGCTAGAACGGTTCTCGAGTTTCAGCAAAAATAAAATTTTTTTTTTGACCTTTTTCGGTGGGTTTCGGTGGCGATCGACCTTATATATAGCTATTAAGTAAATGATGTGAAAAGCTTTTTTAAGCCAAGAACTTTTTGCCCGCAAAAATCAATCAAATAAACGCTGATTTCAATAATTTTTCCAGCGCAACGTCATCCCCGATATGAAGCGGAATTTGGAATTTACAGCCGAAAATTACGGCAAATCGATGCAAAGTGATTTGCTTGAGAATACCATGAAGCACAGTATTTGCGCTGTAACTCGTAAGCTACTGGAGCGATCGGGCTATAGGCTAGGAATGGTTTTATTTAGGATCTGATACACCTTTGTCTTAATTTTTGGACCGATCCGATGTACTACAGCGAAATGCCGGGGGTGCCGCTTTTTTTAGACACCCTGTTAAAGGTTTTTGGGCGTAACTGACACGATTTGGTAACAAAAATTGATTTTACCCCCTGCCAGTAAGAATAGGAGGATGATAACCATTGACGAGACAAGGACCAGGTCCCCTTTGTCGCATTTGAATTTTTCCTTGACATTGGAGACGGCGCCCGTCACCAGCGGTTCCAACAGCTCGGTTCTAGCATGTACCGGAGCTGCGTCTGAAGCAAGTTTTAAAATTTTGTATTTAACTCAAGTGCTGGGTGCCTCAAAAAACTACACCCCTCTAGCGGTCCAGAGAAACCTTAGATCGGGATGATTTCTATACCGTTCGAAAGCTCTCGAAACGGCGTGAAAACAAACAGATTCAATTTTCTAAAATATATCTCGTTCGATTGATAATCACCATTTTTCAAAAAAAAAAGGTTATTTTTCAATAGGAATCGCGCAATTAGCATTCAAATCTTGCATAAATCCACAGTTTTCATGGTCTCTGAACAGAAAATTCCCGAATCAAAATGCAAAAGAGGGTTAGTTACGCGGCTTTTCGAGAGCTTTCGACAGATACCTAAATCATGACAATCAGACACGAATGCGCGCCGCTAGGGGGTGAACTTTTTTTGGGTTTAGCGCTAAAATTGCTTTGCTGAAATTGCTAAAATTTACGCGAATATTTTTGCAGGATACTTGTGTCCATTTGCAAAACATTTATGTTTTTTTAATTTATATAAAGGGGACCCAGACCAACCTCCATCCCCGATAGTGATCATGCAATTTTCGGACTTCGAGGTACAACGTGGCATTAGAGGAATATTTTTGCACCTGCGGAATAGCTCTTGTTAAATATGGGGACTGAGATGCGACCAGATGCCAAGGAGCACGGCCTCGTGCTCATTTCGCTGGGGCTCAGAAAAAAGCGCAGTCCATCATTGGCAAATCGGTGTTGCCATATGTTAGGAGCTGGTGCGTTTCGATTATGTCTGAGAAATATGGCCTGGATGGGAAGAGTCGGTGCTCTTTGGCCTTCTCTTGTCTTCCGGGAGAGCCATTCAAGGGACCGGCAAAGCATGTCTATGGATATCATGGAGTTCGAATCGCGCCGCGACACGCAACGCAACAAGCTGAAGCGTGGCTGATGCGGATCCTATCGCGGAAATCATCGGAATATCTTAATCGACCATGATGACTAAGTTTAAATATCTTTAAACCTGGAATAGGCAATTTTGGAGCCAATTTTTTATTGAGTGTAGTTGATTCGTTTTTTTTGTATTTCGATGAGCTTCAAAAATTTTATTACAACCTGAGGGACGGGCGGAGCGAAAAACAATGGCCACATACAACTTGTACGTCGTAAATACATGATAAAAGCCAAATTAGAAGATTATTGATTTTCAAATCACCAATCTCCCGTCCGATCTTACACTTAAAATCTAAATCAATCGATTTTCACACAAAAAAGTGATTCGCTACCTCGACATCCCCCTGAATCGCGAAGTGTGTGCTGCTTTTTAGTTCACGATTCTCCTCATAGGTGGCAAACTCGAAATTGTTGATGAAAATTTTCAGTTTTCCCTTTTCTGGCTTCATCGTCAGATCAAAGCTGAAACGGCAGAGCTTCTCATTAATGCTCTGAACAGCCGATTCAAGCCAGTCTCAAGACCTACATTCTCCAATCATCAATCGGCATAAATTCGGCTCGGTCTTCTAGCCTCCAGCTGCCCGATGCAAATGTATTTAATACCACGCCCTTTTCTGAGAAGCGGAATGATATCTGAAATCGTTAATCTTGTTGTAAATCGCGGTATACAGTAAAGGTCGGTGTGTAACTTTCGGGCAGCTGATTCGGCGATCCGTTGTAATACAGTATATCGATACGACTGGCTATAAAAATATATGCATAGCCATCAAGAAAGCGCGAGCAGGGGGACCAGGAGAGGAAAGAGAGAGAGAAAGAGAGAGTGTGTGTAAGAGAGATAGCGATAGAGAGAGAGGGTGAAAGAGGGAGAGCGAGATAGAGCAAGTGAGAGAGCTAGAGAGCCAATGACAGCGATACGAGAGAGCGAGTGAGAGAAAGACAATGGTAGAGAGTGAGATGGAACGCGCAAGTGAGAGAAAGACCGATGTATAGCGCGAGAGAGAGAGAGAGAATCACTTACGTTTTGGAATCTTCGTCTCATCTAACAGAAAATTTGGGTCCGAATTATTTCCATGAGTATCACTTGTGGTATACACCATTCCACCGCCATACACATTACGGTAGGAATAGGACGCCGGGACAAAGAACAAAGCTCTGGCTTGGTTGGTGCGGTGCGCAGAGCTTCCGTAGTAATATCCTAAAAAGCATAATTTTCGTGGTTTGGTTCATCAGCTTGTGGTTTAAGCTTACCTCCATAGCTCGGAGAATAAGCGTAGGTCCCATACTTGCTGGACCCCGTCGAGCCACCCACAAATTTGCCATTGCGGATTGACGATCGAATTGAGGAAATAGATGACGTACGGGAGGATGAGCGACCAGATCCAGTAAAAGACGACCTTCCGAAACCTCCACCAGTTGAACTCCCTGAACCCGAGAGGTAATACCAAGTAATAAAACTAGCCTCGAGAAGCGCCACGAGCTGCACTGCCTCCGCGTCCGCCTCCCATTCCTCCTTTTCTTTTCACGCGCAGGGGTGGAGCTTCAAGAAATGAGAGTTTAATTTAAGGCTTTATAGTGCTCACTTTGCTGGCCTTCGATCAGCGAATCCCATATCGCGGGGGCAACTAAATTAGATCGGTTGAACTAAGGATCAATTGAGAGAAAGAGAGCAAGAGAGGCAGAGAGGGAGAGAGAGAGAGGGAGAGAGAGAGAGAGAGAGAGAGAGAGAGAAGGAGCAAGAGAGGGACTGATAGAGAGAGCAAGAGGTAGTGAGCGAGAATGAGAGAGAGAGAGAGAAAGAGAGAAGCGTAAAGACGACGGCAAGATCGAGACAGAGAGAGATGGAGAGCGAGAGAGCAAAAGAGTGAGCGAGAGCAAGAGGGTGAGAGGGAGCGAGAGAGAGAGAGAGTAAACCAACCCGTTGCTACTGGCTTCAGCGCCATATCCAACCTCCCGCTATAATTGAAGGGCCTCAAAAACGGCATTGAATAATCGTTACCATCCAATTCTAGCAAAGAGGGATCCACCAAGTCACCCGTCAACCTTACACAGGTCGCCTACATTTTTAGATCATAAAATAGTTCATCAAAAACTACCGCGTGCACTTCCGGCAATTTATCGAAAATCCCGACTTCCCCGCGTTCGGCAAATATTTGAATGTAATCGGGCAGGAATCGAATTCGGAGATCGATTTTTGGCAAATCTTTGGTTGCCTCGATAACCTGAGATTTTTGCTCGTTAGCAACTCGATAAATTGAATTACCGGAAATGGATTTGGCGCCTCATTATAAAGCACCCGCTGACCCGCTCGATAGGCTTCATAAATAATTTTTGAATCTAGAATGAGAGCTTGGAAATTTCGAGATCTTTCTGTTCTACCATTTCCAAATAATGCACAAACGCTACACGACACGTTATTTGAATCATTACAATCCTTGGAAAGCGAAACGCAAAATCTAAATATCTCACATGTATTTATTGTCTCCAATTTCTCACCGATTTGCCGTGTAATTCAAGCGCCCGACGACATGAAGGTATTGGCCAATCCTTGGAGGTATTGATAAACTCTTTCTGATGCCAAGATTCGCATTGGTATATTCCTGATATTAAAGATGAGGCTAAAAATTATATTTTAGAACTTACTAGTGGAGCCTCGTCCCAAAATTGGATTTCATCAGGTTTCGGCTCGTATTCGATGAGGAATTTGATGAGGAACCCGAGACCGGTGAGGACTGCTGGAAAAGGAATGCTCAGCAGCAAGGGATCAGCTTTCTATAGGCATAATCCTAACATATATAAAAAAATCCTACTATATATAAAAGAATAAGTTATAAAAAAAATAAGTTCCGCTGCACTGTTTGTGTGTGTATGTGCCACTTTGCATGCAACTTCCGTCAGCGTGTTCCAGTAGTATCTCAATAAAGGGGGCAGTTAGGGGTATGTATTATACGTCATTAGGTGCGCAAAGGCCTTGGGATGACTGCACACTAATAACATCTTCAAAAATTAGCTGTTTTCGACGTTAAAATTCAGTTTTTTGTTGAAAAAAGGAGGACCCTCTTTGTTAGGAAAAAATTAGCATACGCCGGACTTTGCGGAAGCCTATATAAGAGTACGGAGGTACCGTTTCTCATTTTTTGTGATCGAAAATCGCGAGAATTATGCAAAGTGATGAATATCATGGATTCAGACAGGGCCAGGGTTGAAAAGTCGCGCAGCGACTTTTCAACCCTGGTTCATACTTTATTTAACGCCACAAATTTTTAAAACCTCTTAAACCCGTTGTTAATCTACAACCACTTTGTTAATCCTTGTTAATTCTTAAAACCAGCTGATGTAGAACATTACTAGGAATTGTCAATCCAGACAATTTGATATACCTGCTACCACCACTATGCATCCAGTGGTTCCACAGCATAAGATTAAAATCCTCCTTTTCAGACCAACTGGACGAGCGGCTTGATTTCTCGGCTCCGCGTTGCTCCTGGCTACGGGGCGTGTGAATTGGCTATCGGATGTCGCAGCTCCATGTGACGAAATATCGACCCATTCTAAAAAAATAAAGTATCTGTTTTCGTTAAAACAGACTTTCCGGTCTTAATAAGCCCATAGAAAAATATTTCGATACCGTTAAGACCTTAAAGCATACCTGGCGAACTTGACGTGAACGCAACATTAGATCCATTTGTATATTTAACATCAGTGGCCTCATCCTTGCCGCAGCTTGGCATAAACGGCGATACGGAAATTATGGAAATTAGTAGGCGAGGCGCCGGCCAGGTAAACGCTAGCCTTTGTCGGCCAACAATCGACTAGACTAGGCTGGCGCTAAGGGGCGTGGCATTGGGCCCCGGCCAGGTAGGAGAAAACAAACAGAAATACCTCAGCGGGGCTATTTTTAGGGTACAGCTTTCCCCTCACGTGGCCGATCTGCGTCATCGTCAGCTGGAAAGAAGTGATGAGAAATTAGATCTAGTTTCTTGACGGGGGTTCACGACGCAAAAACTACTGAAATTAACAGAGCTCACAGGTCTTCTTGAACCCTCATCTAGGAGCTATTTTCTCGGCATCGACCCAACGAAACCATATTTTTTTTTACGTTGTTAGCATAGTTACAAAGAACAGCTTTTTATATTCGATTTGCTGCCCCCGAGGGGCGTTCAAAAATTGCGCCAACACCCATATTTCAGGGCAGAAAGCGACGGGTAATTGGTATCAGTTTTCAACCAGCAATAAACGCACCTCGGCTAGGCCTCATTGGTCACGTTATCACCTCTGCGCAAAGCTGATTTGGAGGGGCGGGGATGGGTTACCTGGCGGGGTAGTGGGCCAGGTGGGTGGCGAGTGGGGTGGACCAAAAGGTATATTGGATAACGGAATGGAGAATTGCTTCAATTGTGGAAATAAACAAAACTGTGTGCGGGGGAAAACGCATGAGAGAGGGTGACTATTAATAAAGAAATAGAGACTATTAATAAAGAAAGAAAGGGAGAGTCTCTGACAACTCTTGACAGCCAGACAGATTCTTGCCAGATTTTTGCCAAATTCAAAAATGATCCTACGGCTCTTTTGACCCCGCCAAATAATAGTGTGTGATGTTAGCCTCACAATCAGCATTATCGAAACACCGGTGGAATACCGATTGAGAAACAGCACGCTTGATAGGATAGTGACCGGGCTACGGATCGGCTGACGACTTTTCCGTTTTACTTTTTTGGCGTGAAACTTTTGGCATAAGTCTTCATTACTATTTTCGTAAAATATTTGTTTGTAAGCTGTACGTTTTCAGCCAACGCTTTATCGCAGGGTGTCAAAATTCGAAATATGTTCTTCGAAATTTTTGGCATCTCGGCGGATAGATGCCCATGCAAAAGAGCATTTTTATTCCCATTTTTTCGGAATAGCTAGATCTATGACGAACGGCTTTCAAAAAAAATTTTCAAAGTCAAGAAAATTATGGACGTAAGGGACAAGGATTCAGGGAGTTTCCTTCCGATTAGAGGCGATCCCATGGACGGCTTCCCGGTCACCCGCAGGTTACAGAATCCTAAGAACAAGGATCATATTAATGGTGAATTTTCCCCACGGTTGAGTGCAGCTGCCCGGTAGCGGTTCCCCGCGGTCCGCTAGCTGTCCACACATTTGATGGTGCCAGAACAGGACTGAAACATTCTAGTGGGCTACCTCGCAATAATTCGTAAAAGTCGATAGATTGAGCTTACGGTATGTCCAAAAAATACAGAATAAGGCAAGGAGGGCAAAGCAGCAGAAGGCACAAGTGTTTTTGAGCCATGTGCAGCATTGCTGCTTCAAACTTTTGGGCGGTTTTCCCTTTGCGATTGCCGCCAACACCTCCGTCCTTTCAGGATCTGCCACTTTGTTCCCCGGTTGACGTTCTAAAGTGAAACGCCAAGTATAGCTATCACATACCCATTTTGTTGCCGGTGCCGTTTCAGCTCGTTCTAAAGACGAGCTTCGAAAGCGGATCCTGCTATGATATTCCACTTTTTTTGGGGGTACCGAGACTATGTCGGCTGATCAGACTAATTTTCTCCACAGCCAACCGGCGGGTAATTTTCGAATTCCCGAGAGTCTCCAAAAGACCCGCTAAATCGTGATGGTTTTGATGAAAACTGTTGCGAGCTTTGCAAAAATAACGGTTCCAAAAATGATCTTTCGAAAATCACCGCTTTTCCTGCAATTCAGACAAAATCAATCTCCCTATCAATCTATCAATTTCCTAGAATTTCAAAAATCTGACTCTCGAAAAATACGTTTCAAAAAGTGAGATTATGTCAAAGCTATTTTCGAAAATATAATTTTATTAAAATGACCGCTTTCGATGATGGAAAGACGTATAATTCGGGCAAATTTGAAATTTCCTGGGGATGATTTCCTGGAATATTTTTGCCGGTACCGGCTTACGCCGGAAACCGCAAGGATTTAGCAACAAAACTCGTTAGATTTCGGGTACCGACCAAAAACATCAATTCCAAACTAACCTTCCAAACCGAAGGCAAGCAAAATTCGTTCGCCGATGTCAGGATCGGGGGATGGCATCGGGATTAGCTATGGAAAATTTGGCAGAAACTGCCAAATTGGCAGAAACTAGCCCTCCAAGAGTGCCCAGGACCGCCCAGATGCTGGGCGATTCAGGCCCTAGGGGCGTGCTTCGTTTTGGCCAAGCAAAAACGCGCGATTCATCACTGCCAAAGCGGTGTTGCCATGTGTCAGAAGGGGCGAATTTTGATTAGCCGGGAGTCGAATTACGGCTGGGGGATGGG